AAAAACTAAAGTGTGGCAAACGCTGCGTGAAGTGGGGCTGTATCCGTTTCACGTCCAACGTGTACAAGCCCTTCAACCTGACGATTTTCCAGCAAGAGTGCGGTTTTGTGAGTGGTTGTTGCATCAACATGACAATATTCCGGACTTTTTGAAGTGCATATTGGTGATAGACGAATCTACGTTCACGCGTAACTTTCGCAACACTCATGTTTGGTCAGTAGAAAATCCGCACGCTGTCCGTCGGGCACATTTTCAACAAACATTTTCGGTGAATGTTTGGGCTGGCATGGTGAATGGTATGCTCATTGGACCATTTATTCTCCCAAATCGATTGGACGGGATGCAATACCTAGACTTTTTACGCAACATTTTGCCTTCCTTGTTTGCCTGCGTCTGCTCGGTAGCGCATCAGCTGATTTTATTTTCTGTTGGAGCGGTATGATTTCGGGCAGAGACTTACTTAGCCCTCTCGTCAACTGGAGAGTGAGTACTTATTCCTTTATTTTTTTTTTACTTGGTCGCCCTCGTTTCACTACACATTACCTTTGTTATTTCAAGGGTAGTTGTTTCTGAAAAGGAAAACCCCAACTTTGCGGACACCCTGTATATATATATAAACAGAAAAGGATCATGCGGAGAAAGGTATATCACAATTAGAAAAATAATGAGCAACATCCGCAAAAACAAGGAAAGTGAACTAAATTAAATACGTAGTTCTGCTGGTTGGCTTCATCAGACCCGAAATGAATGCACATATGAAACTACAAAAGTAGATACACCTGCCCACACATCAGGATACGGGTGTAACCTGAGGAAACGAAGATGAAGAGAAAAAAAACGACACATGAAGTCCACAACAAGAGCCAACCTACACATTGTAGTATAAAATGGCTAGGAGACCTCGAATTTTCAAGGAGACACAACCACGCGGCCGGTTATAGCCATATGCTGTGGTACTTCAAGCCCAAAGGATCTACAAATAGAAAAGTGCGGAAAAAGGTATACCTATAACAAATAGAAAATAATGGGCAAATTCTGTAAAAAGAAAGAAGTGAATTCGAGCAGAAAATAGGATAGGTAACCCGAGCGATACATATTTCTGCTTGTTGGCTTCATCCGGCCCGGAATGAATGCATATATGCCCATTGTTTTCTATTTGATATATACCTTTTTCCGCATGATCCTTTTCTCTTTGTAGATCCTTTGGGCTTGAAGTACCACAGCAAGTGGCTATAACCGGCCGCGTGGTGGTGGTTAGATGTCGCCTTGAAAATTCGAGGTCTTCTAGCCATTTTATACTACAATGTGTGTAGGTTGGCTCTTGTTTGTGACTTTTTGTGGCATTTTCTTTCCTCTCCATCTTCGTTTCCTGAGGTTACACCCGTATCCGGATGTATGGGCATGTGTATATACCTTTGTAGTTGCATATGTGCATCCATTTCCGGCCTGATGAAGAAAACAAGCAGAAATACGTATCGCTCGGAATACCTATCTATATTTTCTATATATTTGGACATACTGTACGTGCGACTGTGTCGATCTCATTTTGCTTAATAAACTTAGCCAGACCGGAGTATCTGAATCAGCTTATACTTGGTTTAGAGTCTTTTCTCAGGGGTCGGAAGCAATACGTATCCATGGCACAAACACAAAATGATGCAATTGTGCAAGTGAAATCCTCATCAACCACTGTCAACGTGGGTGTGCCGCAAGGATCCATCTTAAGACAGATTTTATTTAGCATCTATATCAATGATATAGATAAATGTTTTGCTGAGTTCACTTTATATGCAGATGACACGTCTGTTATACTATCTGACATCTATGATGTGAATGTTATATGTAAGTGTAATAGTTTGTTGATTGTTTTAGATGAGTGGTTCTCGAGGCATCACCTGTATCTCAATTCGGATAAAACTTCAGCTTTCCACAATGCTCAAAAAAAGCTCAGTCTCTTAGATCTTAAAATTAAAGATACAAACTTACAATTAGAACACCAAGTAAAGTTCTTAGGCATTCACTTTGACGACAGCCTTAGTTTTAGAATACACTGTACTATGTAGTTGAATACTGAATTCAAACAATTTGAGAACTATTATGAGCATCAATTAATAACACTATATTATGCTCAAGTTGATTCCAGATTGACATAAGTACGTGTTTGTAAATCAGGAAAATGTATTAAGTTATATGGCAGGTGTTGGCTCCAGGCATAGCTGTAGTGACTTACCATTTAAGAAATATCTTATACTGAACCTTCCCTCATTATTTATTTTCGAGATGGTCATATACGACTTCTCGAACCAGAATAATTTTCTTTTAAATAACCAAATCCATAAAGACAACCCTAGGCAAAGCATCCATCTGCATATACCATTCATTTATAGGCTGCCCAAAGATATTAAGTGCAGTCAGTCCGTTATCAGCTTTAAAAAACGCATGAAACATTACTTGACAAATAATACTTTTACGCCGTCAATGAATTTATTAGCTTATAGAAATTTATTCAACTAATCCAATACATGTATTTTCATGTCAAGATGATTATTGTATATACTTGTGTATTTTAGTTTAGTTAGTTGTAACTCTAATTTTCTTTTTGAGGACACATTTTAGGTAGCGCAAATAACGTGCTCTAAATGTACTGACGAAGATAGTTCAGTGTAAGAGTAGACTAGGCTAAGCTTCGCTCTCTCATGTACTACTAATAAAGGCGTTATTATTATTATTATTATTATTGTTATTGTATCAAGAATGAATATTACCGTTGACGCCATCTGTTGGGGACCGCGCTAGACTCTCCTACTCGCCAGCTGCTTCATAGCCGATCTATGTTGGGGCCGTGCCAGTAACTCTCATTGGGATTAAGAAGACCAGGACTACTGCCTTACACCCGCAGTCAGATGGAATTGTGGAGCGCATTAACCGGTATTTGGCTAAGGTGGTCTCTAGCCATCAAAAAGACTGGGATGGTTTTTTTCACCGCTTCTTATTGGCTTACCGATCGTGGATTCATGAAAGCATAGGAGATACCCCGGCTCGAATAGTTATAGGAAGAGAACTTCGTCTCCCATGCGACCTAAAGTTTGGCTGTCCACCAGGAACTGTTATTGCCTGAGAATACTAGGTAAGTGACCTGCGTAGAAGAATGGGCGGCATCTATAGCCAGGTTCGTCTTTCAGTTCAAGGTGCCAGCGACCGGACGAAGGAAGCTTATGAGGTTAACGCCAAAGACCAGAGGTATGATAACGGTGATACGGTTTGGCTTTACGACCCAAAGAGGCGAAAAGGGCTGTCGCCTAAACTTCAATCATCCTGAGACGCGCCATATAAAGCTCTCGAAGCTATCAATGATCTACAGGATTCACAAGGCACCACGCGGTAAAGCCCGAATTGTTCATTTCAACCGACTTGCCACTTATCATGGAAACAACGAAGATGGAGCGGTGCGGCAAATCGAACCAGAACCAGAGTCGGTATGGCGTGACATCTGAGGTACAGCAAGATCTGCTTACCACTTCACCACAGTATGACCTGGCACACTATGTGGCTCAAGACTTGCAAATGTCAAGAGGTATAGCAAAGGTCTTTCTTCGGAAGTTTGGAAGAGTGCAAGAGCTGCGCCAATCTAACCCGGAAGTAGGAGAAGTACTCCAGATAACTGCAGAGGGGAGCAACCGAAAGACCTTCTATCTCGTTACCAAGAAAGCTTCGTATCAGAAACCGAATTACGAGGATGTCTCGAACGCTTTGTCTTCTCTTAGAGAAGTGTTGCTTGCCGAGGACCTGAGAAAACTGGCAATACCTAAGCTGGCATGTGGACTGGATAAACTGGACTGAAGAATCATCCGAAGCATGCTTGAGGTAGTCTTCTGGTATACAGGAATTCGATTTCTGGTATGTTGTCACAGTCCTAGACGGCTGCCTCCTGGAAAGAGTGTGGATTGTTACTTCTTCAAGAACTCCTACTGCAAGAAAGGGCAGTCGTGCTGATATCGACATCCACCGCCAGTAAGATCATTCCGGGACGGAATGTCTTTAGGGAGGGAGGCAGTGTAACAAGAATGAATAGTACCGTTGGCGTCATCTGTTGGGGACCGCGCCAGACTCTCCTACTCGCTAGCTGCTTCATGGCCGATCTCTGTTGGGGGCCGTGTCAGCGTCTCTCCTTCGGTGGCGACGTCTGTTTAGGACCGTGCCAGTGACTCGCCCTCTAGATCGACGCGAAGTGACCTCGCATATTCTAGACTGCCGCTTTGTGGCTCGCCGGAATCTTCTATACTCGACGAGTACCTGTGATGCGGACCACATAGGGACGGCTGGGAGATGGTAGTAGAGTAGAGTAGAGTGGAGTATAGTTCAGTCAATGGCGCGACATAAGAATTAGTCAGACATAAATGTTCTACCTAGTCAAGGTAAACAAATTAGTGCATTCCTTTTTGTGGAATCCTGTGTTTTAATCCACACCCCAAATAACCCAGAAACACGCTACATTCATTATTATTATTATTATTATTATTATTATTATTATTATTATTATTATTATTATTATTATTATTATTATTATTATTATTATTATTATATTTTGCGGCGATGACCATATGGAATTTAGAATTACGTTATTTGCTTATCGTGATTCTCGCATTAAGCCCTTTCATTTGATAGCAACGTCGTAGGGGTGACTATGAAAAATATAAATCGCCATGTTATAGCGGCAGCAGCATTGGATTTAAAATGACGTCACTTCATCTTGTGTTTCTCTCGACAAGCCCTTTTATTTGATGCATAGATCTTGGGGGTTACTCTAGAAATGATGAATGATATTGGATTCACAATGACGGTAGTTACTTCACATTGTATTGTCACGCAAACTAAACGTGTGTATAAAATTTCAGCTCAATTGGTTAAGGTTTACTGGTTCAAAATTCAGTTCCAACATTTCCCCCCACATACATACTTACTAGCATACCAACAAACAGGTGAAGTTAAATAAAAGCTTGTTATAAGAGAATATATTTATTCAATCAAATGTATCAGGATCAATAAGTTCTTCTTCTTCAGGCTCAGCTTTTTCCTCTTCAAGATGCCCATAAATCACTGGAATACCTGGACAGGTAGATCTGTACTGCGAGCCATGAAACAACTCAAACATGCGATTAACTCTTCCACTTTTCATCGAAGTACTTCTTTTCCTTGTCTTCATCATTTTTTCGTGCGTTGCTTTGAAATTCAGATATCTCTCATACCACTTTTTCTCATGTTCTTCTAGTGCGCTCTCACCTTGAGTTGTTATTCGTTCTTTGATGTCGCTAAATTTTTCTCTAAAATTCATATAATTCTGATACCATGTTGAGTCATCAAATTTCAAATCAGACACTGTCTTTTTTGTCTTCGCAAATATTCGTAATTCCAATTCTTTCATTTTATCCATTCCAAGCGGTTTTTGAGTGTCTTCACCCCCTACTTCTGTTTCTTGATGAGATTTCCGTTTTGGTTTTTTCACTCTGAACTTTCCTTTGCCGCAGTCTTTGCCGATACCATTAAAGTAGACATGTTCTCTGTATAATAACGCACTATTTTCACTTGAGACTCCTAAGATAATGGAACAAAAAAAACAGCGTCAAGTCGGTTGACTCTGCACTTCCCACGCAATGCCGTCATCAGTTAAAAAAAGGAATGTATGCATCACTAGTTATACCCTACGAGAAAACAGTTTTTATACAAATATGATACTTTAGATTATTGTAAAATTTAGATACAGGTATTTGCAGGTGATATAATAATATGAATATTAGATGAAACTATAGACACTGCTTTAAAGATGGTAAATTCTTATGACCAAAACAAATTGATTAAATGTACATAAACTGAAATTGAATGCTTCTAAAACAAAATGTATGCTAATAGGGAAATACTTAAATGAATGCAGTATCACAGGATAAATGGTGAAATAACTGAAATAGTTGAATCATTCAAATTTTTGGGTATATATATTATATAATATATATTATATAATGATTATTTTATGTCTGTTTATAGCTATAAACCTGTTGATTCACTAGTTTGCGAAAACTATTTCAAAAATAAATTGAGCTCTGAATATATTTTTTCATTGAATAAGATTAGTTCAAATGACGTATTACAGGCAATAGGGAGCCTAAAATCTGATGCGAAGGGAATTGATGGTATATCCCTGTCAATGATCCAGCTTTGCCTGCCAGTTATTCTCCATCACATCGTCCACATCTTTAACGACTGTTTGGAAAAAGGCTACTTTCCAAACACATGGAAACAAGCTCTAATTATTCCAATTCCTAAAAAAATGAAACCCACTGAGTATAATGATCTCAGACCTATCAGTTTATTACCAATTTTATCCAAAATTTTAGAAAAAATTATAAAGTTCCAATTGACCGCTTACCTAGAAAAATTCTTTATACTTCCCGACACTCAATCCGGATTTAGAAAAAATTATAGTACAACATCTGCCCTACTTAATCTGCAAGACAATATTTTAAATGCCTTAGATAAGAAAATGGCACTAGCCTTAAATTACATAGGTCTTGACAGTGTATCCCTTTCATTTTTCGACAGTTACCTTCATCAAAGAACTCAGTGTGTTTTTCTCAATCAAGAAATGTCTCAAGTGACAATAATTCCCTCAGGCGTACCTCAGGGCTCTGTATTGGGGCCGCTTCTGTTCCTCATATATACGTTCGACTTAAGCAAAAGTATTGATAATTCTCATGTCCAGTCATTAGCAGACGATACGCAATTGCTTCATTATTTTAACCCAGATAATGTCAATAATACTACTCAAATTTTACAAAACGATGTTAATAAATTAATTAAATACTCTTTAGATCACAATCTACTTATTAATCCACAAAAATCTAAAATGTTATTATTTTGCGCACAAAGAAAAACATACAATTTAACACAGCTCTTGAACATTCAGATAAATAACCAAATCTTGCAATTTTCTGATTCTGCAAAAATTCTTGGTGTTGTTTTTGATACAAAATTAAGGTTTATTGAACATGTTAAAAGTCTATCTCAGAAAACCTACCTACGGCTGCGCACTCTTATAGCAAACAGGTATTTACTAAATTTTAAGATGCGTAAAAAACTATGTGAAGCATTGGTCATATCTATACTAAATTATTGTAATATCGTATACTATACTTGTTTAGACAATTTCACTAAAAACGTTATTCAAGTTATTCAAAACAATTGTATACGATTCATTTTTGGCTTACGTAAATTTGATCATGTATCGGCGAAATATCCCGTTCTAAACTGGTTAAAAATTAATGACATGGTCAAGTATCACTATTCAGTTTTTGTTCACAAATTGCTGCTCACGTCTAAACCTTATTACTTGAAGTAAAAAATTTCATTTAATAATGATGTTCACTGTAGAACTCTCAGAGAAAATAATATTAGAATACCCTTTTTAAACGCAGTTTTTCTTACAATGTTGCTATTATTTATAATGACCTTCCTAAAGTATATAAAGAATTTTCATTACCTGTCTTTCGACAAAAAGTTAAAACATTATTACTCAACCCTCCAAACATATAATTTACGTAATTATTCATTTCTTTTTTATTCCATCTTTAATTCAGATTAATAATTTTTTGGTGCATTTGGGTTTGGAAAGTATGCCTTTTTCTCTTTTTTTTAAATTTTACTTTCGATGTAATGAACCAAATCTGTTTGTGGATAGTGTATTCTTTTGAACATCTGCTAGAGACTATATGGTTAAGTGTAAGAGTAGCAGCATGCTAAACTTCGCCATATAAGTCTGACATTTGGCTATACTACATGTAATTGTGCATAAATAAAGACGTCTATTATTATTATTATTATTATATATACAGCGAGGCCCATCCATGTGTGGAAGGAATATTACTCATAAACAAATACATTTCGGGAAAATCTATTTATGGGATGTTATACATGCCATTTGAGGGCACATTTCTAAAATATTGGCCATTATACAGGGTGTCCCAATTTTGACCTACATATCAAAGTTGTGATTTTTCAAATGGAATGCCTCAAATTATATTCCACATCTGGATAAACCAATTCAAAAGAAGAACATTGATATGACATACAATGAGGTTTTGGTAATTAGCTACTGAGATGTAAGTTTTTTTATCCAGAAAAACCGTGCATTTCGGCAACCCCTCATTTCGCCATTTTGAAATTTGGAGTGCTGAATTTTGTATAAAAAAAGCTTAAACACCTCAGCTTTTATCTTGTTTGTTACTTTTTCGAATTTTCAGTTTTGCTCATACAGGGTCGTCAAAAGCGTGAATTGTAATTTTTTCATAAATTTCAAATGCATCACCCTGTATATTTGTGCATGTTTGGATTCAACTTTTTATAGGCTTTTTTTTGGTTTAAGATTTGATTCAGATAAAATAACTTTGAGTTATCAAGCTTTTAATAGAACAACACACCAAAATTAAGGAAAAAATCACATCATCCATGGAAACAAACGACAAACAGTGGGCTAGTTCCAATTTGCCACTTAGGCCCGTATCGTCAGTCGTCCCTACAATTGTAGGGCGCCTTTATGGCCTTCTTGATTGTCATAGTTTTCTACTTCTCCGTGTCAGCGCTCTATTTTGAGGTTATGTCACAAACATCTATTTGCATCAAATTGTGCTTGCTTTTGTATCATGTTTTATCAGCATGAAATTTCCTACAATTTAAAAAGAAAACATATCTTCTCAATAGGAAAGCGCTGACGCTGACACGGGACAAGTGTAATCTAGAAATTTTTGAAGGAGAGAAAAGAGTATGACAATCAAGGAGGCCATAAACGTGCCCTACAATTGTAGGTATTATTATTATTATTATTATTATTATATATACAGCGAGGCCCATCCATGTGTGGAAGGAATATTACTCATAAACAAATACATTTCGGGAAAATCTATTTATGGGATGTTATACATGCCATTTGAGGGCACATTTCTAAAATATTGGCCATTATACAGGGTGTCCCAATTTTGACCTACATATCAAAGTTGTGATTTTTCAAATGAAATGCCTCAAATTATATTCCACATCTGGATAAACCAATTCAAAAGAAGAACATTGATATGACATACAATGAGGTTTTGGTAATTAGCTACTGAGATGTAAGTTTTTTTATCCAGAAAAACCGTGCATTTCGGCAACCCCTCATTTCGCCATTTTGAAATTTGGAGTGCTGAATTTTGTATAAAAAAAGCTTAAACACCTCAGCTTTTATCTTGTTTGTTACTTTTTCGAATTTTCAGTTTTGCTCATACAGGGTCGTCAAAAGCGTGAATTGTAATTTTTTCATAAATTTCAAATGCATCACCCTGTATATTTGTGCATGTTTGGATTCAACTTTTTATAGGCTTTTTTTTGGTTTAAGATTTGATTCAGATAAAATAACTTTGAGTTATCAAGCTTTTAATAGAACAACACACCAAAATTAAGGAAAAAATCACATCATCCATGGAAACAAACGACAAACAGTGGGCTAGTTCCAATTTGCCACTTAGGCCCGTATCGTCAGTCGTCCCTACAATTGTAGGGCGCCTTTATGGCCTCCTTGATTGTCATAGTTTTCTACTTCTCCGTGTCAGCGCTCTATTTTGAGGTTATGTCACAAACATCTATTTGCATCAAATTGTGCTTGCTTTTGTATCATGTTTTATCAGCATGAAATTTCCTACAATTTAAAAAGAAAACATATCTTCTCAATAGGAACGCGCTGACGCTGACACGGGACAAGTGTAATCTAGAAATTTTTGAAGGAGAGAAAAGAGTATGACAATCAAGGAGGCCATAAACGTGCCCTACAATTGTAGGGACGACTGACGATACGGGCCTTAGAGTACAGATTTGACGTAAAAGCTAATAACAATCAGAACAGTATAAATCAGCTTCAAGCGTAATAGAGGAAAACAAAACAACTATAACAATAACGTAAACAAACAACTGTCACTACTCAAGTACTTGAAAATATCTCCACCAGGTTGAATACACAGCCGTAGTCTTTGGATAAATGACCGTTGGACATCCGGGGTAGATGGTGGATATCTATAAATCTCTTGCTTAACGTAGCCCCATAGAAAGAAGTCCATCGGTGTCATATCTGGTGATCTAGGAGGCCAAGATATAGGTCTATCAGGACCGATCCAACGATTGTTACTCCAGGTGTCCAAATAGTTACGCACACGATTATGATAATGCGCAGGTGCGCCGTCATGTTGGAAGTACATATGCATCCGAGTTTGCAAGCAAAAGCTCGATCAAAAAATTCAAATATTAATTACCTGTTAATCTGTTGTCGAAAGAGAAAGGCCCTATAACTTGTCTGCCAATAACTCCTCCTCAAACATTCAAGCTCCATTTATTTTTGAAATCTATTTGCCTAACCCAGTAAGTGTTTTCCGTCGCATTGATGAATGCATAGGTGATATGGATGGTACCTATGCTTGTGGATAATCCTTTGGACAGAAGTTCTGCATATATCAGTTTCTGCTCCAATTTGATTCAAACACGTTTTTATTGTAATGCTCACAAAACTAATTTTGACAGTTTGTAACTAATCAACAATTTATTTGTTTCCAAGGATGATGCGATATTTTAGGGAATTAGGTCGTCCCATAAAAGACGTGCTAATAACCGAAAAAATATTCGTAAAAACCCTTTTGTGTCTAGTATCAAAAAAAGCTTATAAGAAATTGAATCCAAACTTGCATAAATATACAGGGTGATGCATTTGAAATTTTTGAAAAAAACTACAATTTGCGTTTTTGACCACCCTGTATGAGCAAAAATTAAAATTCGAAAAAGTAACAAATAAGATAAAAGCTGAGGTGTGTAAGTTTTCTTTGATACAAAATTCAGCACCCCAAATTTCAAAATGGCGGACTGGGGGATTACCGAAGTGGGGGTTTTTTCTAGACAGAACACCTTATATCTCAGTAGCTAATTATCAAAGCCCCATAGTATGTTATACCAATTTTCTCCTGTTGAATTGGTTTATCCAAATATGCAATAAATTTGAGGCATTTCATTTGAAAAATCACAACTTTGATATGTAGGTCGAAATTGGGACACCCTGTATAATGGTCAATATTTTAGAAATGTGCCCTCAAATGGCATGTATAACATCCCATAAATAGATTCTCCCAAATTGTATTTGTTTATGAGTAATATTCCGTCCACACATGAATGGGTCACCCTGTATATATATATGTATACTATTATAATATTATTTTTCGACCTACAGTCTATGACAGTAGGTTTTCTCCTAAGAGGAAACCGTATCGTATAGCAAAGATAAAAATAAAGGGAAAATGAATAGACCACTTCTATCTTACCATGCCACTCTTTTCCTTTAAAATCAAGCAGAAGTAGATGTCCAGCAGGCCTATTATCTACAAAATTGCACATCACCGCTAAACTTTCATTTGTTACGAACATCCCTTCTCCATTGAATTTGCTGTCTTTTAGCTCTCCATAATATTGATTCCCATTTGGAAACTTTATCTCTACAGTATTTATAAGTTTGTCATCTAACCAGGCACCTTTGTACGTTTGGCCGTCCTTAGTTGTGTATGTTCCTAAGCCTGTAAAATATGAAGGATATACAGGGTGTTCCTTAATGTTTGCGTCAAAATTATCTGCTTTTTTATACCGAAGCCGCCACGCAGGCGAAGCGACCGCAATTGATAAGCATAAAATGAACTTAAGGAAACTTTTATTAATCCGATTTTTGAACTGCCCAAGATTAGTAGAACAGAAAAAAGCCTCCTGTAGATTGTTTCACAATCCCGATACCCTAGGGACAAAGGATCGGTCGTATCGGCCAGTTCTGGATGTACGAAGTCCGACACGGACATCGCGCGGCGGCATCATGGAAGAGATCTCTGAGGAACAAAGCGCGTTGGTAGCTAGATCGCCGACGGCCCGTCGGTGCCAAATGGTCGCGAGACTGTCAGTTAGAGAAGAGTCATCGATCAGTAGGACAACCCTGCTCTGTGTAGCACCGGGCATAGATAATGTAATCAGCCCCAAATCTGTATGCAGTACTTGAGGCTAGGTCTTATCTGGGCCTTGTAGAGGGTAAAGAAATCATGTGGGGAAAAGTAAGAGAGCAGCATGCCACAGCTCATCGAACGCTTACGTGATACAAAGAGCAACGGCACTAGCCTCACCATAAGACTGCTTGAGTTTACTCCACAGTTGCGTGGCGTAAGCTAGGAGATCCTTCGAAGATCGTGGTGCCGGAAACATACTATATATCTGTCGGTAATCAAGCCGTGACGTTCGCGGTACTCCAGAAGGTCCCAATTTATGCTTTATGCTTTACTTTTAACAGAAAGCATATCTATAACAGGCCTGTAGTTGTATAACTACATTAAAAGGCTATATAAACCCGTCGTAAATGTCACACTAATCAAACATACTTTGATCTACTTTGCATATTTTGATATCTTTTGAAAATCAATAACAAAATGGAGTCAGATTAGGGGTATTTTTCTGTACTTAATTCAGTAAAAAAATTAAACTGGGTCTACCTTCTCTCCAAACAAGCCCAGATCTGTGCGCACAATATTCTCCTTCGTATATATCACCATTGGGAAATTCAAATTTAGAAGCACCTCTACAAAAATCTGGATCCAAATAACTCAAATCAATCTTTTCCTGGATTCCACTTATATCGGTCATTTTTCTATTTGATTTTGGCCTTGTCAGTTTTTTTCAAAATTGACGCGTCCGTGTTAGAGAAAATGTCAAAGCGCCCACCCAAAAGTAGGTCTTCGAAATTCAACAGGAACTTCTGGAATTTATTTTGTTGTTTGAAGTTAAAGGTATATGGTCATATAATGTGGTGTCTAACACTTATAAATGAAAACTGTGGGCCCTTTTTATGCTGTAGGCGAGCTTATTATAACCTTAAGATTTATTTAAGAACCAGTTGGTTTTAAATGCAATTTATTTCTCGCAGTTTTAACGCATAAGGATGCGGAAAGTACTTAATAAATCGTTGGATACCACTTGGGCTTGTATAATTTGGCCTAGTCCTGCAACTAGACGTTTCATTAGAATACGAGCAATGTTTTCATTTGCAATTTCAATGAAACGCAGTATATTTCAGAGCGAAGCAGATGAAGCTTGCCAGGTCGACGAGTGCTCCTTAACCAGCTTGAACGAAGAGAACAGCAATGAAGAATTAAACAGAATTCAGGTGGAGCTAACAGCCAAACCACAACTCAACGTCAACATTTTACACCAAAATTCCGAGCTACCTCTGGCAGAAGAATTCAAAACTTCTCTTGGCAAATTAGACTCGCTGATCGATACACTCAATAGTTTAAAAGTTTACAAACCAGAATCAGAGAAAGAACCTGAACCAGACATTGTTTTGAAGGAAGAGCAAAGTAAGGAAGGTCTAAAGTTTAATGTAGCTCTTAACAATGTTTGCATCAAATGTAAAATACGAAGAGATAAACATACATTGAGTATAGTAAACAATAGAGATTCTCTATATCAAACTCATGGGTTTGCAAAGTGTGACGCAGAACTCATGGTACATCAGGATGATTTTCCGAAAGACCCTGAAGAATTTAAAGAGAACAAAGAAGACCTCCTAGGTGGGCAGCTTTTGAGGGCCAATGGACAGCACAAAACACGAAATTTCGGGATGTTTTCAAAAATCTGCAAACACCTTAGGCTGATTAAAAATGGCGTAATCGCAAGGAAACGAATCCTGTGCATTGTAGAGAGGGACGATAAATATAGGTTTTCTTTTAGATTTGGAGACTTAAGGAGCTGGTTCGCTTCTGATTGTGATCTTAAGAAGGAGAAAGTATTAGTTAAAACTGAAAGTGTCATGTTCATGGAAGCTAAGATTAGAGCGATTAATTTTTGCAAGTTTCACCGGCTGTTGAAGGTCACAAAGACGAAAAAGAAAAAAGCGAAAATAAGTTTGTGAAATTGTCTGTAACGGAGAAATATAATATTGTGAATGGTATATAGTGTGGTTGATTGCTAGCAAAGAGGTATTTTTCGAAGTATTACCGAGAAACATTAACGACACATCTTTAATTTCACTAGTTTTCCAGTTAATTTAGTTTGCGCATTCACCACTTTTCACAAATATTAGCCAAAAACTTTGCGCTAAACGGCTTTTAGTCCGGAAGTAATAAGATAGTCCGTCAAAATGTAAATTTTTAACACTCTCCCAGAATCGTAGGGTAAATCGTGAAACAATAATAACGCATCTTCTTTAATCGCATCAGTTGGCCCATTCTTCAGCTTGGAATCAACGGAACGTAGATTTTCAGAACTTTCCAAAACTATTTTTCACTTTTCAATCAAAACAAGATTTGATCCATTAGGCAAATAGTAAAACGTCATTTTGATGTCACATGAATTATGGTTGCCTGATATGTCATGATTAAATAGCTAGTGATGGGAAATTTATTTATTTAACAAATAGCAATTATATACCTGTATGAATATTTTTTTAACTTTATATCAGATTTTGTGGTAACGCTTCGAAAGTGTAACGCTTCGAAAGTAATAAAAAAGTCCATCAAAATATCCATATCACTATCCTGTAGGCCAGGGCGCCTGTAGACAGTACATACTGATTTTATTGCATTATCAATTTGTAACAAACCTGCTCTGAATATTTGAAAACATTATTTTAGAAAAACATTAATAGCTAGCAGGTAGAATACGTTAATCAATGTAAGTATTTGGTCAACATTTAATAATATAGTACAGATAAATGTTCTAAACAATATTGTTATCATAGTAACCATTTCTGACAAGCCATCTAACATTGTTATTTTATGCTTGAAATTGTTGTCTAGCAATCAATTTCTGCGCATTTTTCGACGTATTAAGTACTTAAAGCGGATACCTGCTTTTTGTATAAGTATTTCACCATTTTTGAGGGGTCCTATTTATAGTTATTTTTTTCTGATAATCGCAATTATAGGGTACTGTACTACTACTTGGTATATTTTACGAAATAACTTATTAATGGCATTTTGAAATCAATGATAATGCAAAGTAATATTATTTTGCATGTTTCTATCAAAATACACAACAAAAAACTTATTCAAATACTAAGAGCTTAGAATAATAGGTATTAAAAAAAATTGCGAACAGTATACATATATTCTACAGAAATATGAAAACAATGCTCTTTTTCCGGATAGTTTTTCATTCCAACCAGTTGAAGATAATATGGTTCTTAATATATTAAGAGAAATCAAAAGTACGTCGACAGGTAACGATGATTTAAATATTATAATGATTGAGCTTTGCTTTTCTCATATCTTGCCTTTCTTTAAGCTGGAAAAGGCAATGGTAGTCCCGCTACCAAAAAAATCGACTTACATGTTACCGGCATTTTGCAAATTTCTGGAGAAGATTATTGCGATGCAGTTGACAATATATAGAGGCTTAAGCTGTTTTACCAGATATTCAGTCTGTGTTTAGACGAGGCTATGGATGCTCAACTGCACTTCTAAAAATTACCGATGATATTATAGCGGCAAAGGATGCAAGTGAGTATACCTTATTAATATTGTTAGACTTCACTCGTGCTTTGATCATTTTCTCTTATTGAAACTATTAAAAGTTCATGAATATGTCATCCGGAGTACCTCAAGGTTCCGTGTTAGGCCCTTTGTTGTTCATCATATATACAAGTCAATTAGCTTCAACTTTACAAAATACTAAACTAGATCTTTATGCTGATGATACGCAGTTATATCTCTCGTTCAAAAGAAAAGATGTAAGAGCAACTTGTGCGAAATTAAATATTGATCTCAATAATTTTATAAACTCGGCCACAGATCACTGTTCGATGAACAATGCAGATGAATTAAAGATGTTATTTGGTCCTAAGCAGCACTACGATAATGGAAAATCATATACGTATATTCAAATACAAATTGGTGATGTGGACATTCCCTTATCAGAACAAGCTAAAAGTCTTGGAGTACTTGATTGTGAACTCAGGTTTAAGTCGCATATAAACGAACTGTTGCAAAAAATGTATGCTGCCATGAAGCTGATGTGTGTTAACAGAAATTATCTTTTTAAAAAAACTAAAATAATTCTATGCGATAGTCTGGATCTATCATTTCTAAATCATGCTGATGTTGTATATGGTCCCCATTTAACATCTGTGTATAAACAAAAAATTCAAAAAGTGCAAAATTCTTGCTTAAGTCTAATCTATGATATACACAGGCCAAGCAGAGTCTCACACAAATTATATGATGTAGGGTGGCTAAACATGTATAACAGACGGGTATTGCACGCGGCTTGTTTATATCATGCTCAACAGCCAATATACCTTTACAATAAAATAAAATTTCGCACACTTTAAATGTAAGATTTAAGGGGCTACTGTCTCCTCCTAAGTTTCACCATGAATTTCTTAAACCAAGTTTCACCTACCAAATTTATAGTGCTTACAATGGTTTTTCGCAAGAAATCTAAACATTTAATATCGTAAAATTCAAGAGCCAGGTCAAACGGACATTATTTAGCAAACAGAGCTGATTATTATATGGACAATGCAAGTTTAATATTTTATTATTATTATTTTTGTTTAGTGTATGATATGTTGGTTGAATGTATTATTATTTAACAGGGTTAAGTGGAAGAACAGATGTGTGCCACATTAGTGGCGGACATCTGAACTTCGCCCTTCGCCAAACTCTTTTTTTATACAAATGTATGTTTATTAGTTGATGTTTGGCGAATAAAGACGTTTATTATTATTATTATTATTTGTTTTTGGTTGGTCTTCCACCGTTACACACGGGGTATGTACACAACAGAGAAGGAATTCACCTCAGCCTATTGCGAACTATGTGACATGTTTGCAATATTGCGGCTTTCTGCATCAATGCAATAAAATGCGCTGGAACTTTGATTTTCTCTAAGTGAGAGTGGAGATTCATAGAGACTACCCCTTCCACAGACACTGCTACTGGTATTATGCAGACCTCTGATAGTTTCCAAATGTTTTTGATTTCAATGGCAAGGTTTTGATACTTTTCAGCCTTGGTGTATTCGGTTCTGATTATGTTTGCTGTGAGTGGCACTGCGATATCAATTATGTATGCTTTCCGTTTATTTTTATCGATCAGTAGTATGTCTGGCCGGTTATAGTCAACTGTTTTATCGGTCATGACTGCCCCGTCCTAGTGCAATAGGGCCAACTGATTCTGGAGTACTGGGAATGGTGTATATTATATAATATAGCGCGGTTGACTCAATGAGATTATAATTTTGAGCTAACGTGGAGTGTATTATTTTGGCTACAAAATGAACATGTTGCAGCTGGAGGTGATGTGTTCTATTGTTTCACCTGGCGTATGGCATTTTCTACATACGTCGTGTGTATTCAGGCCTAGTATATGGCGTTCATAGTTTCTAGTTCGAATAACCTTATCCTGAATATCACATAGAAAACCCTCCGATTCCGTATGTAGGTAGCCTTTCACAAAAATTGATCGTGAGGACTTTTTATCAATTCCATCTTTTTCAAGTGTTACAGGATATCTCCCGTGAAGGGCTTTCTCTTTCCATCTGTTGAGCAGGTCAGTCGACGTCGGTGTTGATCGATCTGGGGATTCATGATTTCTGCCCAAATTCATGGGGGTGATGCTGCTGTCCATAGCTGTAATGCTTCTAATGTTTTGGCCATTGATGTTGCAAATATATCGACGAAGCTTGGACACTTGCTCTTTGCAAAGACGCTCAACATTTATCAGTTCTCTTCCCCCAAGGGTACTAGGTAAGTATACTCTTTCCGTGGCAGATTTTGGATGTAGCATACGAAATTTGGAGTTTTCTAGTTTCTCGATCGATTTCAGCTAGGTTTGTATCGCTCCATTTAATAACGCCAAAGCTAAATGACAGCACTGGTCCAGCCCAAGCATTTATTGCCATTTTTTGAATCAAGTTTGGTGTTGAGGAGCTTTGTTATCCTGCTGATGTATTTTTGCTTTACGATTGCTTTTAAGTTGGTGTGATCCAACCCTGGGTTTTGTTGAAAACCTAGGCTTCTGGGGATAACATAGCTATGTTACATATGCTAGTTGCGGTGGGTACGATTTTACCCATATTCATTTTGAATATTCCACACTTATCCAACCCGAACCGCATGCCGATGTCCTCATCACTGAATATTTGTGCTGTATGGATGAGGGATGACAAATGATCTTCTAACTAGGCAAACAGCTTTATATCATCCATATACATCAAGTGGGTGACTCTGTCATTGTGCTGCTTATTTACTTTGTAACCCGCTGAGCTCCTATTCAACAACTGTTATAATGGGTTCACTGCAAGACAGAACCATATTGGGCTAAGACTGTCGCCTTGCTAAATTTGGACGTTACCTAGCTTAACTTTGTCCACAAATAGCGTGGTACTCCACTGTTTCATCCAAGTGGTTAAACATGTTTGTATTGCAGGGTTGATCTTATATAGGCCCAGCACCTCAAGTAACCAAACGTGAGGAACATAATCAAATGCCTTGCTATAATATATATATATATATATATAGCAAGTATACAGATTTCGTTGTTTTAGTTGGGCACTTTTAACTATTATGGCATCTAAAGCTATGTAACAACACCGCGAACCGAACCACGCGACGAACCGCGCCGCGCAAGTGTAGACGGTGAAAAAAACGCCGTAGCGAACCTGATATAAGCGTTCAGCTCGCCTTTCGGCCCGATCCAGACTGTCGGTTTTTCAGCGTAAGAGCCGTTTTACACACAAGAGAATTACTCCGAAAATTATGGTCATAATTATACTGAAAATTTGCATGGAAAAAATATTGAAGATTTTCTCTACAACCTGTATGACACAAGCAAACAAAATTTCGGAGTAATTCATATGATACGCCTGCGCATTAGAGTTATATTTTCAAATGGACATAACCTTAACGGGTATGACGTCCAATATAATCGGAAAGACAACAGACTTCGATAATTTAAATTCATTTTTGAAATCGAGATCTTGGTTAATATGATAAAACTTCTCAATGCTTGGACTATCGCATCCAGCGCCTGACGCCGCAAATTTCTGTTTTTGTAATTGGGTGACTTCACCTTGTACAGGTTTGGCCATTTTTGGTACTCCTCCAACAACATTGTAAATTCTTCCCGATTCCACGACATTATGAATAAACAATAACAATAAACGCTCCTTCCTACGACTCGAACAGGACCACTCCCACAAATGTTAAGTGAGGTTATGTTGTTGTTGTTGTCGTTGACATTTGATATTGACATGCACGGAAATAACCCTCTGCGCCGATTCTCGGGCATATAATATAGAACGGGTTTTATATTTTTACCATGAAAATTTTCACAAGAATTCTTTTACGTGTAATACGACAGCAAAAATTTTCGGCATAATTATGACCATAATTTTCGGAGTAATTCTCTTGTGTGTAAAACGGCTCTAACGCGTAACATCAAAGGAAAGGCTCGCGACGAAGTTGCGCATGTTTGGACAGGGATATTGGTGCGGCGAGCACGCGCTCATATGAGTAAATGGATAGAGCCCGTGAAGAAAAGAAGGAATGGTCGGAGGAGAAAACTCTTTTGCTTATACTTGACTTCGAAGTTGAGTCATTTATTTTAACAGTGAGTAGATCTGATCAAAAGAAATGTTTTTTTCCTTTAACATTTTTCTGGTAAAATTAAATTAACAAAGTTATAGCCCTTTAGAAGTTTGAGTACCGCCCTGTCTCAATAATAATATTATGTGCTCGTGTTTGGCGACAACGGATATAATCCGCCTTACCGGTTCATCGCATCGGAAACAAAAAAGCCAAAGAATTTGAAACGTTTATCACGATGATGTTTTTCGTCAGTCGGTAACGCGTGAGTGAATAGTGGTGTTTGTTGCGTGGCTCAAACGAAATAAAAAATGGCACATGTTTACGAAAATGCTGAACTTGTGGACATGATTCTTATTTACGGGGGGGAGTCTTTACAAAATGCTGCCGCGGCATCACGGATTTGTGCGAATCGGTTCCCCAATCGAGTGCAACCAACCCCTCGTGCCTTTGTTAATGTAGTACAAAGGGCTCGTGAATCAGGTGACTTAAGACCTCACAGGGGAGGTCATGCCGGTTCTCCAAGACCGCACGATCAAATACAGGTCCGCACTGAAATACTTGTCGGGAGGATACTTTATAAAACAAGGTAACATTTTTTTTTATTTTTACACACATAATTTGGTTTATCTTCCTTCTACAATCATTATCTGAAAATTAATGACTCAACTTCAAAGTCACCCTGTAGAGCATTACAAAGCAGGGGAATTATTGTGGGAATCAAAACATACCCTGAATTACAATAAATTAAAAAAAAATGATGTCTTTTACTGAACGACAAACATCAAAATTGGATCGCCATTTTGTTGCGAGATGTGGTTGCACGACGTGGTTCGGTTTGTCGTGATGCTCGTTGCAATGTTGTTCGTCAAAATGCGCGCGCCGCGATTCGTGGCGTGGTTCGGTTCGCGGTGTTCGCCGATAGCATTAAATATTCATTAAATATTTTTAAAAAATGTTTGTTATTTATTTGTAGCGACAGATTTTTTAATATGTAATAAATATATTCCTAATATATTTATAAAATATTCATTATAGATATTTGTAGTATATATAATTCATATATTTTTGCGATATTTTTTCCCAAATATTTCGAAAATATATGAGGAAAGATTTTTAAATATCAATTTTATGTTTTGATGAAATATCTAATATTTTTCGTAAATATGTATGGATTTTCAAGCATTAATTTGATACATATTTTCAGTGTAGATAGAAAATTCTTCATTGGTTATTTTAGCAAAACCTGTAGGAATGCTTATATAAAATTGGGTTTATAAAGAAAATTCATTCTAGATATAATGGTTTAATTTGCTAGAAAAATATTATCAAAAAACATTCTAAGCCTCTTCTGCATCTTGCAAGTCCACTCCTCTGAAAAAAAAAACAAACTTACTAATTATGAAGTATTATTGAATACATAAGCTGCTTTCCTGTGTATTTATTGGTGCTGAGCAAGGTGAGTTTAGACAATAAAATTATGTTTGTCTCTGTCTAACATATCTGAAACTTCATTAAAAATATTCACAAATCGCTGTCGTTTGTCTTTACTACAGACTAAAATGATGACGTAATCGTCATCTTTCGTGATTTCGACTTTAGTGAAAGTCACAGGTAAAATGGCTGCCGGCAAACGGGTCGTCTCAGGCCGACTTGCTATTATCCCATTGGTCGCTCGAGGTAACATGCACATGCGCCGCAGCCGAAAATATTTAATGAATATTTTCTAAATATTGGAGATCTAATATTTTCCATTGATTGAAAAGTAAATATTTCATGAATATTATAAAAGAAATATTGTATTTAAAATATATAAAAGATATTGAATAAATATTTAATAAAAATATTATATTACAAATATTTAAGATAAAAACATTATTGAATATTAAATAGATATTTAATGAATATTTCGTGCTATCGGGGTTGTTACATGGCTTAATGTTAGCTGTTCTTTACAGCATTTCGATTTTTTAATGCATCCCTTCTGTTCATCTGCAAATATCTGGTTGGCCTCGTAGTGTTCATAAATCTTTGAAGTCAAAATAGCGGTTAAGAGCTTATAAAGTGTCGGTAAACAGGTTATGGGGCGGTAATTACCTACTTGGCTGGAGCGGGTCTCCTTTCTGATACAATAGATATGTCACACCCTCGGTAAAGTATTTTGGAAGACTACTTGGGTCGCTAATAAGTCTAGAAGAACATGTGGCCAAGGGCCCGTGTAAGAACATACAGCTTCTTAATCCAGAAGTTCTGAATCTTATCACGACCTGGGGCTTTCCAGTTGATTAGCCTCTTGACTGCCTCTTTGACATTATCAGTTGTGATGTAAACGTCTGGCATTTCAGTTAGCGATTTTGTGGAGCCTTGTATAGTAGTGAGCCAGGACGCTTGCTCATTGTACTTATGACTTGTGCTCGATATGCTGCGCCAATATTTATAGAAACTGTCTCGGTTTACATCTTTCGAAGTGGGGCTTATGCCTTCTTTAAGGAGGGAGTTATAAAACATTCTCTGATTTATTGCAAACAGCTTGTTTTGTTCTTTTCTTTTCGTCATTTCGTTGTATCTTCTGAGCCTTGCTCCCTTTGCTTTCGCCTTTTGCCTCAAGTCATCGTGGTCCAGCTGCAGCTTCCGGTTGGCTTCCGAATCATCTATCTTCAAGCCATGCTGCTTCAGTCTCCTTGCAATTTTCTTATTAAGCTTGGATGATTTCTTTCCATTCATGTATTCCTTAATTATATCAGCCTGAGAGCATAGACAATCAATAACTTTAATTAAACTTATTCGCCAAGGGTGATCATATTGTGATTTTATATATTCTGTACTCTCCCTGTCTTATATCTTGACTTGCTGTTTATTTAGTTGCAGGGTAGTTACAGCAGCAGAGTATAAGCTATTTGCAATCTCATGAATGCCCCCGTTGTCCTGAAGATGCAGTGCAAGGACTTCATTCACTTTGGAAATAATTGTGGCAGTATTTGGCTTGTATATCAGCCTCGCCGGTAGTCTAGGCCGCAGCTTAGGTTCAGTGGTTTTATAAAGAGCTAAGGAAAGTAGTGTGAGCTTCGTCTTCCGTCGGTGTTGCATTCTGGAATTGACCATCTTGGTTTAATCCACCTGCCACTTCATTAGGATCTCCATTTATATCGGCAATTGTCTCAGCATAACCAAGCTTGTTCCCCACTTGTCTGCGTATGTGACCTATCTCAACATCAGAAAGGTACTTATTCTTTACTATTATATCCTTTCGGTCAACCACGTTTTGTTCAGTAACGTCTAAGTTTGGGTACAGTCTGTTGAATTCTGTATACCTTTTCAATCTCCATCCTGGCAAGGGACGCTCTGAACAGTTATTGACTTTAAAATAACTACGCATAACATCAATATTCATTTGTTTGGTCCACTTTAAGTGCTTTCGAGATTCAGTTCCGGCAGCAGCCGGCCTCCGCTGGGGTGGCGAGCTACCAAGACTCGTTCGATTTTCAGCTAGAGCTTCATGTATGTTCCTTGATTGTTGAGAGGTAACCATTTGATTAGAGCTAGCGTCATTTGCAGGTCCATCTTCCCGACGGTTCCGATCCGGGGCCTGCATCGCCGGTCCGCCTGAATATCTTTTACTCCTAGTTTGTACCATATTTTCACCTTTCGGGTTGTGCAGTTTAGAGCTCTGCCAAGCAGGCCTCCGACAGCCTCATTGCCAACCGCCCCTACCGTGGGGAACAGACGCTGTCGAGGTACCGCACCTAACATGATGAACAGACATGCCTCTGCTGGTTTTGGTTCGCTCCTTGCTACCAAGGTGCTTCCCATATCTAGGAAGCGTTCCCCTAACCACCGCCTGGGGAGGCGACCTACGGGGGACCAGAAACCCCACAACGGTTATTATCATTGGTTACATTACCCTGAATAACATTAGATGTCCGTATAACATAAAATGTTTCATTTATCGAACTAAAATAACAGACAATATTTATTTAGTTTAAGCACAAAAATCACAAATATAATCTCGTCCACTAGGAAATTAAGCAAAGCCCTCATATATCCACATACATTGCATTGTTTGCATCTGATTAGGTACCATATTCAAATTATTTTCCGGTACGATTTAACAAGCCAAATTGTCGAACCGGTAAGATCGACACAAATTGTCCTATTTCTAAAGTGAGGTTGAATTAAATTTCATCTGATTAAAAGCACTTGTCAAATAATCGATAATTACAAAAAACTGACACCTCATCTACAAGGGGCTTGATTCTAAATGAGTTTCGACCGTTGAAATTGATTTCGATGGCGCCTTTGTGACGATATACTAGATTCGCTATGATAATTTTGACATCTGATTATATTGATCTTCTATATTCAAATTATCATGGCAGTTGCAAAATTATCATAGCTAATCAAGTATATGGTCACAAGGCGCCATCAACGATCGAAACTCTTTTAGAATCAGCCCCATAAATCGATTACTTGGCTATTTATATTTACTGCGGAAACGCGTTTTACAGAAAACAAGAAATTTCATCTTCTACGAACGAATGCCGGTGATAAGTTTTAGTCAGGTGTTTTGACAATGAAGATTAGAGATTGGAGGTCAAACTCATGGAGTGGGGGTGAAGCCAAAAACGTCGACGATGAATTTAGTACACTGCGCAGCAAATAAATTTTAACAGAAAATGAATTACATGTTGTGCTCATGTGGCATCTCTCTCTCTCTCTCTCTCTTTCGCTATTCTGTTGGTTCTGTCATCATGATTGTAAAAAAACTCCAATTTTGAAAGTTTGGACGAATTGCAAGCAGAAATATTGGCTAATATTAATAAATCACGAAGTAGTAAAATTGTAAAGCATCACACAACGTGAGTGAAATGCACATAAATATTGCGGCAGGTTATGTTGACATTTTTCAATGCGCAGCTGCTCTGCGCCATGTTCTACGCCCACTAGATTTCCGCGAGCCACACCATCCTTGGCGACAGAATTTTCTTTTTCTTCATATGCATACGTGTATCCCTTACGCAATTTACCTCCTGTCTCTAGTCTTCGTAAATATTCAGTGAATACTGAGATGGCACAATTTAAGAATTGGTATAACTTTCCATCCTCTTATTTTCGTTTATAAAAGGTTCTTTTTACTAAACTACAATAAGACACTTTTTCACATTCAGCAAATATAATAATACGTATAATTTTCGAAACCATAAACAGTAATCATTTTGCATCTCATTATTTATGTGTCCATTTTGGCTTCCTTTTTTCCACGAAGCTTTTCATCCCCTCTTTACCATCAGCCAGTTCCAAATTTTCCACCATTTTCTTCGCACCCAGCTCGTAAGCCTCCTTCAACTCTAAATCGATTTGCTTATAGAAAAATCTCTTTCCTAACTCGATTACAGATCTGCTTTTCTGAATGATGAAGTCGCAAGTAGTTTGAACTTCTTTATCTAAGGCTTCTTTTGAGCAAACTGTTGTAACCAGTCCACTAGATTTTGCTTCTGCCGCAGAAATTGGCTGACCTGTTAACACCATTTTTAGGGCTGTAGATTTCAGTACTTTTCTAGCCAGTGGGATTCCTGGTGTTGAACAGAATATTCCAAAGTTGGCACTGAAAGAGGAATACGCGATTCATAAACTTTCTATAGAATCAGTAGCAATAAGGTACCTAAGTCACACTTGAATAAAATGGCGCATTTCCATTTAAAAGCGTGGCTTAGGTATCTATGCCGAAGTTCATTTTTTGACAATTCGCTGCTCGATGTCGCCAAGGGCGTACCCAGGGAGGGGAACAAAGAGGCAGCTGCCTCCACTTTTTCACTAGCTCAGCAAACGTTAAATGGATTAAGCATTTTTTATAAAAACTAAATTATTCATGAAGAGGTTCTCCACAAGCTGAATCAATATCTACTAGATGAGAAATTACTAGAATAATTAGTTGAAATCTATGTTGGATATAAATTAATGCTAAAAGCATTACGTGTGTTTCAAATTCGAACATCGCCTTTGGGATTTTAGGAAACGGTAAAGCGAATGTCACACGATCAGTATTTAATCTGGTCCGTCCCATCAGTGGATTTCTGCGCAATAGTATTTCCGAACTTGCTCTATGTCGTTTTTATTTTTTCCTGGCTTTAGTTCGAAACAAAACTTTTCAAACATCCACATTATCTACAAATTACATAATAACATTACCACTTTTTCTCTTCTACACTGTAACATAATTATAATTTTGATCTGACATTCCAGCTCTTAGTTTTTTTTTTAAATTATACCGTTTTGTCTTCATGATTACCCGTAAATAATATAAATGATACATAACTCATTATGTTGTTCCTCATTCGACGAGTTTAAACCAACTATATGAAGTTAAGCACTTGAAGTTTTATACCAATGCGTAACTTATCTTTGATATTCTTTAAAATAAATGATTATATGATAATTTCAAGGCTTACTCAAGAATTTTTTTTTATAATAATGTATGACATACTATAATATTTGGAATCAGAATTAAAAGCTATTCGCCTATGCAAAAATGGAATACATAGAGTTGAGACGAACAATATTATATATATTAATGTTCTATATATTGTTGTGAATAAGTATACCAAAAGTTTACTGTAGCTGTTATATATTTAAAATTGGTCAAAGTAGCGACATCTAGTGTCATATGTCGTTACTACTGTGTTTGTCCACTATGTGCATGTCACTCTGTAATGTCAGTGTAGTTGCAATATACCATCATAAGCGTGAACAAGTGTTTTCTTTCATCTCGCTAATCTCGCTTTAAGTTGCGTTTAAGTTCGGGTTGAACTGTGAAAAGTGTGTAAACTCTGTTAAAAAAAACATCAGGTTATGGGCCCAGACCCACAGTAGGACACCCAGCAGCGAAACTTTAGTGAATCGAGACGTTGAAAGAAACTGTCGTGACGCAAGTGTTTCTCACAGAACAAATATGGCCGTCAACTACCTGACGAGTGTGCCAAGGCTTTTAGGCCGTGAGAATTATGATGAATGGGCGTTTGCCGTCGAGAATGTGTTTGTGCTAGAGGGCTTAAACAAATGCATCGAAGGTACCGAGACCGACACAACGACCCTAGCAAAAGCAAAGGCCAAGCTAGTATTAACCATCGATCCATCTTTGTTCCCGCATGTCAAAGATTTAACGACTGCACAAGAAGTATGGACCAGTCTCAAACGTTTATATGATGACAGTGGTTTCATGCGAAAGATTGGACTTTTACGTACACTCATATCGGCAAGATTAGAGAATCATGATAGTATGGAGTCGTACATAAACCAGATTGTTGAGACTTCCCAAAAGTTACGCAGAACAGGTTTCAAAATAGACGAGGAGTGGGTAGGATCATTGCTGCTGGCCGGTCTTCCAGACAAGTACGCACCAATGATCATGGCCGTCGAGCACTCAGGAATCTGCATAACCACAGATTCAATAAAGACCAAGTTATTGGATATGCAGACAGATGGCGCTAGTGGTAATGGAAATGCAGGTGCATTCTCCGCCAAGAAACCGAGTTTTCGGAAACAGTCGCGAGGTGGCGCTAGTAGGACGAATTTCAAAGGAAAATCAGCTGGTGCTAGCCAAGCGGGAATGTCAACAAACACAGATGATTTCGGGGTTCAATCGAGGTCAAGTTCAAACAGTGGTTTTGGAAATGGACATAATAAAAAGGATCTGAGTAATATTGTGTGTTACAAGTGCAAAAAGACAGGACATTTTATGTCAAAATGCCCTAACAATAACAGACTTGAAGGAGGATTTAGTGCCGTGTTTACAACAGGTGATTTTAAGGTCACAGATTGGTATGTTGATAGTGGTGCCAGCAAGCATTTAACTGCCAATAGCCAGTGGTTAAAAAACAGGAGAAAGCCTGACTTACCTGATATTGTAATGGCTAACAAATCGAAAGTTGTTGTGGAATGTGCAGGTGATGTTGAGATCAAAACAATGACCAATGAACAGCACAAGATTTTACTAGAAGGTGTACAGTATATTCCTGGTTTAACAACTAACTTATTATCAGTAGGCCAGTTAATCAATAATGGAAATAGAGTAAGTTTTCATGAAGAGGGATGCAATATTTACAATAAAGTTGGTGTATCAGTAGCTACTGCTAGTCTACATAACAACGTTTACAAGTTGAACGTTTGTGAGGAGCCAGTGTGTTTTCAAGCTGTAAGTAGCAATTTATGGCATCAACGTTTAGGTCACATTAATGACAGCTACCTGAATAAGACAGCCAAGTTGGTTGATGGTCTTATCTGTAATGGTACAAGCATTGGGAGTTGTGAGGTATGCTGTAGGGGCAAGCAAGCCCGTTTACCTTTTCCCAAAGAAGGCAGTCGAGCACAGCAACTGCTAGAGGTCATTCATAGCGACATTTGTGGTCCTATGGAAACAACATCTATTGGTGGAGCTAAATATTTCCTGACATTTATAGATGATTACAGCAGAATGTGCTTTATATATTTCCTGAAGACAAAAGATGAAACTTTTGATAAGTTTAAGCAATTTAAATCATTAGTTGAGAATCAACAGAATGTTAAGATTAAGATTTTGCGAAGCGATAATGGTGGGGAATTCTGTAATAGAGAAATGGATAGTTTTTTAAAGAATTCAGGCATCATACACCAGACTTCGAGCAGTCACACTCCGCAGCAAAATGGGATGGCTGAGAGGTTCAACCGGACCATTGTGGAGAAGGCTAAGTGTCTTTTATTTGATGAGAGCTTGACCAAGGCATTATGGGCGGAAGCGTGTAATACTGCTTGTTACCTGAAAAACCGTTCAGCATGTTCAAAGCTTTCAATGACACCATATGAGATTTGGACAGGTAAGAAACCAAATCTTAGTCATCTTAGGGTATATGGGAGTACCGCCATGGTTCATGTTCCGAAGGTCAGTAGGAACAAGTGGGACGAGAAGTCAGTGAAGCATGTGCTTGTTGGGTACGATGAAACTACCAAAGGATATAGGTGTTTTAACCCCAGAACAAGGAAAGTCATAGTAAGCCGTGATGTAACAATCATAGAGAAACCAAGTTTGGAAATTCCAAGTACAGTGTTGCCGGATAGTGTTCCAGATAAGCAAAGGGAAGTTCCAGATTCAGTGGGAGAGCAGAATCCCATGTATTCAGATGATGAATCTTCTGAAGATGATGTATACTTCTCGGATGATGATGAATATGTGCCTGAAGGTCAGTGCCATGACTTGTTTGATAATGGTGAACAAGTAACTCCAAGAAGATCCCAAAGACAGATCAAGAAGAAGAATTTTCAAGATTTTGTGACATATTTTGGAGGTGTTAACAGCAAGGGTGAAGTCTATGACTCGAGTATCCCTACATCAGTGACTGAGGCTCTTTCAAGGCCAGATGGGCAGAAGTGGAAAGAAGCTATGTCAGAAGAAATACAGTCATTTATCGATAATGACACTTGGGAATTAGTAGATCCGCCAGAAGTTGGTACAGTGGTGCAGTGCAAGTGGGTATATAAAGTGAAGAGTGATAATGAAAGCCATAACCGGTATAGAGCTAGGCTTGTGGCTAAAGGTTTCACACAGAGAGAGGGTGTGGACTATGTTGAAACCTTCGCCCCAGTGGTAAGGCACTCAACTTTTCGTTTATTGCTTGCTTTGTCTGTTAGGCTAGATCTAAAAATTTTACACTTGGATGTGAAAACAGCTTTCTTGAATGGTATTCTGAAAGAAAATGTATTTATGCAGCAACCTGAAGGTTTTGTCATTAAAGATAAAGAAAATAAAGTGTATAGATTGAAGAAAGCAGTTTATGGATTAAAACAATCTAGTCGTGCTTGGAACGAAAAAGTCGACCAAGTTTTGTCAAAAATTGGTTATTCTAAGTCCAAATATGAGCCTTGTTTGTACATTAAAAGGAATAACAGTAATTTGTTAACCATTGTTGCTCTCTATGTTGACGATTTTTTCTGTTTTTCGTCTGATGACAATGAAATGAAGTTTCTTGAAGGTCATTTAAACTCAAAGTTTAAAATTAAGAATTTAGGAGAGGCAAAACAATGTTTAGGTATAAGAATCACTAGGGATTATTCGAAAAATTGTTTGTCAATTGATCAAGAATTGTATATTAATGAACTTTTATGTCGTTTTGGTATGTCAGATAGCAAAGTAGTAAGTACTCCGCTTGACAGTAGTATCAACTTGAGCGATATCAGTGGTGAAATTTGTGATCCAAAAGTTCCATATCAAGAGCTTATTGGAAGTTTAATGTACCTTTCGGTAATGACCAGACCTGATATTTCTCATGCTGTGAGCTTATTAAGTCAGTATAATAACTCATACACTAAAGTTCATTGGCAATCTGCAAAGCGTTTACTTCGTTATTTAAAGGGTACAAAGAGCTTGTCTATGAAATTTTTTAAGGATAATTTAAATTTGACAGGTTTTGCAGATGCAGATTGGGGGTCCAATAAGCAAGACAGAAAGTCATTTACTGGTTATGTATTTAAATATTCAGGGGGTTCAGTTTCATGGAAAAGCTGTAAACAACGTACTGTTGCTTTGTCGACAACTGAGGCAGAGTATATGGCTCTAAGCGAGGCAGCAAAAGAGGCCATATATCTGAGGAATTTGTTGAGCGAGTTAACTGGAAAATTGGATTGTATTGAGATTCATAATGATAATCAAAGTGCTCAGAAGCTTGCTAGCAATCCAATGTTCCATGATAGGTCAAAGCACATAGATATAAGGTACCATTTCTTGCGAGATATTGTGTTAGAAGGTAAAGTGAAATTAATGTATACACCTACTAACGAAATGGTTGCAGATGTTTTAACGAAACCATTACAAAATGTTAAGAATTCAAAGTTTGTAAAGGGTTTAGGTTTAAGTTAAGTTGTGCATGACAGATATTTTAAAAGGTTTTAGAGAACCATTAGTAAACTTTTGTTAAGTGGGAGTGTTGTGAATAAGTATACCAAAAGTTTACTGTAGCTGTTATATATTTAAAATTGGTCAAAGTAGCGACATCTAGTGTCATATGTCGTTACTACTGTGTTTGTCCACTATGTGCATGTCACTCTGTAATGTCAGTGTAGTTGCAATATACCATCATAAGCGTGAACAAGTGTTTTCTTTCATCTCGCTAATCTCGCTTTAAGTTGCGTTTAAGTTCGGGTTGAACTGTGAAAAGTGTGTAAACTCTGTTAAAAAAAACATCATATATGCCACCTTGCAGAGATCAAATAGTGGCAAGGTCAATGTGCAACTTGTTTTGAAATCCTATCTCAAATAAGTTCAGAAAAATTAGAAACGATTTTGGGAAAAAAACTGGGAGCGTCAAAACTGTCCAAATACATTTTCTAAAATATATAAATATGCGACTTTGTCACAATTCAACCGTTTTGGAGATTACAATGATAAAAGTATGACAAATTTGTTTTCGAAATCATTCTAGGTATACTAGGTATATCCTTTTAGATATTCTATAAAACTATTTTCGGCTATATGACAAAATTTAAAGTAATTATAGAAAACAATGAATATATGTATATCAACAAAGATAGCATGAACTTTTTTTCGATTTTAATCACCACAAAGGCTACTTTTGGCAAATGAACGATTTTTGCTATAACCAATTAACTGAACAAACCCCTTTTTAAAGTATTTTCATCCCTTTCACAATTCTTCTATAACTTTTAAGTTTTTATAAAAAGTTACCCAGCATTTTTAGTTCGAGATGCGGGTCCTTGGCATTCACCCTAAAGAATATATAAATCCATCTGTACACGATGCCTATCCATTGTAGAGGCTTGCGGCAAAAAAAAAACGGCCAAGAGAAAAACCTAGAAAATATTTTCAAGTTTCTGGAATGTCCGCCAGTGGGCGTAACTCCAATCTTGAATATAAAAAGGTGATGTATCTGTGAATTCCGCTATATTAACGTAACAAAAACCTGATCTTTGAACTCGAGGATATTCTGAACCTTTTTTCTTGGCAATGTTTGATGTATCTTTAAAAACAAGTGGTCGGAGGTATTCAAAGGTTTCCGTGAAAAATGCCCTGTATCTTCAAAACGACTGAGGCGATTTTAACATATAAACGAAATGTAGATAGGAAGGAAAATATCAACCATAGTCATATGGATATGATTGGTGGAACTACCACTAAATTTTTTTGAAGGTGTCCCCTTTTGGTTTTGAGCTGGGTGTGCCTTTGGATTTTGCTAGAATTTCTAAATGGCCCTTTTGAACATCCAGCATGTCTCACAAATTTTTACGCCACTTGAATTGAAAAGATTGACGCCAAACAGAAATGAGTCGATGGTGAAAACAAAGGATGTTCCAATGATACAGATAACAAAGATGGTTCTGGATTTAGTTTAGATGACGGTGTGAAGGCCAGACACTATCCTCTGGCTGACAGGAGTTCTGATGTGACTCTGGGCGAGTGATTAAAGAGGCTTATGACATTACTGCCATTATAGATGTGGCTTTTGCTTTTGTTACTTATCAAAGATATTTCTTGTATTAGCTTCAAAATACCACTAGATAATGATTTCAAACCATCTATTTATCATTATCCTTATACTATTCGAATACATTTGAGTGTTTGGTAGTCGACAGAATTTTTTTTTCAGTACTCGGTATTCTGGATTCTGAATCCCAATATTCGAATACTCACTTCGTTTTCAAATCCCGGTATGCGAATCCTGTATTGAAATACTGTTTGGCTATTCTTATTAATATTGCGTTACGCTTTATTTTTATTTTTTTACATATTCTTATAACTTAAGCATATAAATAAAAATCAAGTTTAAAGTGCGCATATGTTTTCTTTTTTCTTTTTTCTTTTAAAAAATATTCATATTTAACACATTAAACGCCACTGCATGGACCGCTTTGTATTTAATTTATTCCCACGGTGACTCCAGCCCCAGGTCCATAATCAAATTTATTTTAGCGTTAGATATGGACCTTGCATGGATTATACCCATATGCCAACTTTTGGTTTTTAGAGTGTTTTTGTTTTAACTAGAGTTATTCATTTTTTTATTCACACCATTTATTTCCTACTAAAACTCTACACAACAACTTTGACAAAAACATATATATATATATATATATATAAATAATAGGAAAATAATGGGGAAAAACCGCAAAAAGAAGGAAAGTGGATTCGAGCAGAAAATAGGATAGGTAACCCGAGCGATACGTATTTCTGCTGGTTGGCTTCATCAGGCCCGAAATGAATGCACATATGCAACTACAAAAGTAGATACACATGCTCATACATCCGGATACGGCAAAAATACATATCGCTCGGGTTACCTATCCTATTTTCTGCTCGAATCCACTTCCTTCTTTTTCTACATTTTTTGTACATATTTTTCAGCACATGTCGTTCACGTCTTGTGTCAGCTGTTGACGTAGACGGTAGATTAGACACATTATTTGTTGGGAACATCACTGGCCTGATGGACACTTTTCTAACATTTTGTTTGGCATTTATAACGTTTAAATGGATCCAGGTTATCAAAACAGCGGTATTCCAATATTTTTTTCGTTGTGTTCGAATCTTGAATATTCGAATAGAGGCTTTCAGTATTCGATCCAAGTTTGTCCATGGTGAATTCGTTAGAAAGTAATCCAAAATTAAAGTCGCGAAAATAATGATATCGAGATAGGTATGCCTCAGTAAAATTGTTATTAATTTTTCCGAATTTTCATATTTATTTGTTGGTTGTCCTTTAACATGAATAAAGAGGTTGTCGAGGGGTAACCCGGTGCAAATTTGTTTAATTTTTCACACTAGAGGAACACGTTCGTGTCCTATAGCGCTATATTAACAAATAATAGTGCTTTAAAATAAATAAATACTCTTCGAGGACTTGTAGAGGGTGGTTTGAGGTTCAATTTAGACACTAAGCAATTTTAAAAATAATGACTTTCAACCGGGTTGTTAAGCATTGAAAATTTTCACTTTTCCAAACTTTAAGCCACTTATAACGCGAAAACTGCCAACTTGAAAGCTCTTCATTCCCGGTATTCGTAAGTATGTAAATCATGCATCCGTACTTCTCTTACAACTCATTTCTTTTTCGATATACAAGCAAGAAATTTTAGCGTATGAAAGTGATGAAGAATCGTTATTCTATTTTTGTGAAAACAATACGTCGAATTCAAAATTGTATGTGGTATGGGTATGGCAACACCGCCGCCATGTCGCCTACTTCCGATGTTTGGACCTTTACACTTCCCTTCTTTTGCTTACTGAATGAACCAGAAGAAAGGAAACTTGACTGATTTAGAAATGCATATTTTCCAGGTCAAGGTTTTGTCTTGTCCATTTATCTCAAAATTACTATTTTCACAGGTTTGATCTAGGAGTACTTTTTGGTCATTGGTTATAATAATTCCACATTGATGAATGAGGTGGCGATTTGAAATATGATTTTGAAAAAGCTTACAAGTTTAGCAATGATTTATTGTTACCCTGGTGTTGAGAAAGAGCTGTTTTCTGTGCAGATTGCGATATCACATTGCGCAACCAACTGACAACCCGCTGCTGCCGCTAAACCATCTACCTGTGCTAAAACTGGTACGGGACATTCGATGATGCTAGTCATAAGATCACTTGCTAAATTGAACACTTCTTGATGGGTCGATGTGTCAGAAACTGCTGCCTGAAATTTATTTATTGAATGTCCGTGTTTCATCAATTTTTTAGTACTTTTATTCCTGGATTCGAAACTTCTTGAATTAGTTACTGTTTCCAACGATTTTAATACGTACCAGTTCTTTTAGATTGTATCCAGCTGAAAAAATTGGACCTGGTGCAGCTAAAACTATAACCCTCAGTTCTTTGTTTCCAGTATCGTTTTTGATATGTTCCAGCAATTGTTCCATCATTGCCATGGATAAGGAATTCCTACAAAGTAATATTCCTTCAAGCTCAGTTTCTCAATGCAACATTTTTTTCTTCGTTTGCTGTTACAACAAGCGAATGAAGCTTAACATACAGAGGTAATTTGATTGGCATCAGAAAATTTCCATCAAATAACAAAAATCCGTTTTCCGTCGTTCCAATCAAAACGAACAGCAGACCCAAAAATAGTGGCAGTAATAGCAGTAGCTATGGAATCACTTAGACAGTTCACAACATTAATCCACCTTATATCACATCTGACAGCCAAGTGAATATAGCTGCTGTCCAACTGACAAAGCTATCCCACTGCTGCTGCTATTTAGCATAAAAGCGCTGCTCCGCTTTACGTTGGTTGACCGTACCCAATGTTACACGATCTGGGTTTAGAATCAGATGATTCAGAATTATATTTGTAAAATTTCTTTGAGGGCTCAGTGGAGTACATTATTATGTAAAACCGTTAAATAATTTGCAGATTCTGTGTAAAATATAAGAAAAATTTCAAGCTGTATATCACGCGCGAACTATCAGTCAGTATTGCAATACTGGTGCCTATATTCAGGCTGGTCCGCTCTGATATAAAATCGCTATTTGCTATAAAACTTAGAAAGGAATTTATTTTCATCACAATTTGGCCCTGCTTTTAGTAACATCTACAAAAAAAAAAACAAACCGTCAAACATTTATCGTCCAAACGCTAAATATGTACCGCCAACCAAGACAAACCACTCTAACATCGATGATAGCCGGTGATAACAACTGTTACACCTTATTATGAAATGCAAATGTTAAATCCTCCATTGAACATGCGTTATTGTTTGTTTAAAATTCAAGGAGACATCGTCAAACGGCACTCAGTCCACCAGGAAGGTTTATAAATGTGAATCAGACTTTTTAAAAGAACGAAGAAAAAGCGTTAGATGAATGAATAACTTTATTTATTTTCAGTAGATACAAAATGTTTCACTTGACTTTAACAGGAATTACCAGCAATATCTTCAGCCTTTACAACTGCATCAAAAAGTGTGTTCCTTACAAATCGTTGTTGCTGTATCGGCAAAATCTTTGTTGCCTCATACATGGACTCGAAAAACAGTTTGAGACTATCCGGTGGTGGGTGATTTCTTGCTTCAGATTTTTCTTCGCGTTTCCTTGCTTGTTCTTTTAGAAACTCCAATATCTCGCTATCGTCAACTGTTTTTCTCTTTCGTGATTGATCAGTTTGTTGCTGGCCGTTTTCTCTTAAATTGGGCTGTTTCTCACATGCTGTCGAAATTTCCATGTGGTTGGACATTTGTTTTTCATTATCACTATCAGAGAAATGTTCTTGCTCTACAACATCGCTTATTGTATCATTATCCGGCTCAACTTGTGACTCACTAAGCTGAAATGTAATGTCATTGTCCCAAGTCATGTTGTAACTCTTGGCGCGTTCCTTCATAAATGGTATTAAAAAACTCATTTGTTCCGTGAATTTCCAAGGTTTATAATTATGTTGTTTGGTAGGATCCTCAATTTTCGACCTCGCAGCTTTAAGGGCATGCCTATACCCGTCTCGAAGATTTTTCCAGCAACTTTTCGCTTGGTTACCTACAAGTAACAGTTATTAGCGCGTTAAGTGGACGGTTATGGTCGGCAGCGTTAGATTAGAGACCAAGGTGCAAAATGAATACAAAATTTTATCTACGACCGGTAAAATCAGAGATTCAAAGTAGTTATTGAGTAGACTAAAAAATAAATTGACCGTACTACTGTGTCACCGGTATAGTTTTATATTCGTTTCTCAACGAATAAATAAGGAGTATAAGGACAGTTTCCGTTGTCGCCTTATGCCTTATGGTGTTCGACATAGGTTATAATCTATTCATAGAGGGCGCCCTAGAGCTTAAAGACTAGAAAAATTGAGACTTAACGTTCAGTACACCTAATCATAAGGTACATTTTTTCGGCCAATTGGAAATAGTAGATGTTTCTACCTCTAGTTAAGTGGGTCTGGTGTGAAATTAGGATATAAGCGAATTTATGTAAAATGTCAAAATATAATAAGTGACAGTCTGACGATGAATTACAGATTCAAGCTACTATTTTTCTAGTTTTATCTCCTCTTCCCAATGGTATATTCTCTTTTTAACTTATTAGGAGTTTTCGTAATAAGTCATTTTATTTTCTGATTCAAGCAATCTTTGGCATTTTAGGGTCAGATTGAAAATAAAAACAATTTCGAAAACAACGTTGTGAAATATCCACGGCTCCATCAGTTTTAGATGTGACAGTTCCAAAAGTAGGCTGTAACAAGTCAAGTGATATAAACGCTTATTACAACAGAAATACTATATAATGTATCTACGAGCCCCTTCCCACTTCAGTTGGCCCAACTATTGAAATCTTAGTTTTTTTCTTATCAAACACAGATAATAAAAATGTAGCATGGTGTCATAGGTTTAAAATATTAACAATGAATATTTTGATAATATATAGTAGAAAACACCAACTTTATCACTCCCTGATCAAATTTGCAGCATAAAAATAACACAAACATGTTGCAATTACAGCATATCAACGTATTTTCATTTCAATGCAAAATAAGTCTATAACGCATAGGTGGCTGTGAAAAATAAAAGCCATGACAATTGTTTTTATTAATCATAGTTGTCAGAATACGTTTAAAATAGTTTTGGGTAGTTAAGGTTTTCAAAATGGGTAGAGGAAAGGTTATTAGTGAGAAAATTCGGTTACTGATATTTAAATTTTTGAATTCTGGGAAATCAAACTCAGAAATTGCAACTTTGATAGACTTATCGCGGTTCAGTGTGAGAACTATTGTTCGAAGATATAATGTAACTGGATCAGTTAATATTAAGCTACGATATGTGAAAAAAAGTAACATTACAAATGCCGACCGAAGAGCATTAAGAAGAATAATCGTGAAAAACAGGCGTGCCAATTATTTACAATTAAGTGCTCTGTGGAGTGACGCTTGTTGGAAGGAGAATTTCGAGGTCCACAACTCATAGAGAGGCCCACAAACTGGGATTTAGCACTTGCAAGAAGAATCGCTTTTACCAATGATGGAAGAATGTTTGACATCCGGTCAAGATTTTGTGTTTCAGCAAGATGGTGCAGCGTGCCATACCTCAAAAAAGGGTATAAAATGGATGGAAGAAAATAATGTACCACTTTTGCTTTTGAAATGGGTTTCTAGCAGTCCAGATCTGTCACCTATTGAAACTTTGTGGCACGAGATGAAAAAGGTTCTACGACAACATCCTGCTCGTACAATCACCGAACTGAGACAAAAGCTTCAAGAAATATGGGAACGTTTTACATCAAATTTTTGCCAAACCTTGGTTAACACTATGCCCCAAAGAATTTCAGACGTAATAAAAAACAAAGATGATGTTACCCAATGGTAATCTTTCAATTGTTGCTTTGTTAACTTCGTGCATATATTCGCACATTGTTTATTTGTTCAGATGTTCTATTAGTTATAGGTCTAAGTGATTTCAAATATGTATTTTTTACGACTAGAGTGTATCTAAAATGTCTTTGAGAAAATAAATTGTTTTAGAAGTAAGTAAACAGTTTCGTCATGTTTAGTTTATAAGGGCATATTTTGGTACAAATCTTGAAGTGGACCAACTGAAGGGGCTCGTATAACCAAATTTTAGTATATGTATCTTTTAAATAGAATTAAAAATAAATTAACCGATAGTTGCGAATAAACAGTTGAGCTACCCTGGCTGCCTTATTGTGTCCAACACAGGTTAACTTGCAGCAGGCGGTAACATTACTTTAAAGCCCTTGGACCTAAAGCACAAATTATACAGATGCGACACCTGCTGTCGGTCCCTTTCATCTTCGTGTCCCCCAACTGCTTACCACATTTCCCGCTTATGTTCATTGGCGTCCGGACGATTTTTTCCTATGAGTTGTTAGGCGTTATTAGCAAGATGTCACGAAAGGCATATGTCAAACAACATAATCAAGAAATTGATTTGTATTTATTATTTACCCACATTCCTTTTTGGCGAGATAATTATTATTATTTCTTGAAAAGCTATTTATATATTTATATATAGTATTGATAAAACTTAGTTATTTTTGATAACCCCTTAATCCTAAATGTCACAGCAACACGAGTCCCACCAAACGCATAGGACTCACGTTGGCGTTGATAGAACCTGATTTTTGACAGTGTCGCCTCTATATAATACTCCATGCCTAAAGTCCGTGAGCGGAAAAAGTGCGCTTACTGTCCGAAAATACTATTCATAAAGCAAACTTTTCTACCTGGTTGCAGAATAAAAGTATTTACAATGAAAAGGTTACCTGTTATGAATCCGCAATCCTTGGCGACCATTTCCCAAATTCTATTTTTCAATTCATTGTCACTATATTCTTTAGTACTGTTGTCGTATAATACTTGACATTTCCGTACACATTCTATCAATAATTCGCATTGTCTCGTTTTACTTCCCATAGTTTTACCAGGCTGCATACACAAACACTTTTGTTAATAGCGGGTGCCAGCGCTGAGCTTCGGTAGAGCCTAGCGAAACGAAGCGTGACGAAGATACACGAAGCTACGTTTCGTTGATCTACTTCTACTCCACACGGATGTATTAGTCCAGGAAGAGTAGGGTGAATACACCAGTGGTCGGGCAGGTTAGACAAAAGTGGAATGCAAAGTGTGATTACGAATTTTGTGCTCAAGATAACAGAACTAATGTTTTTGGAGGTGATCATATTTGTTGTTAACTCTTCGCTGCCAACAAATACATCGCTTATAGATATTCATGTAATTTGATAAAAAAATATTAAGCAAAAAGGTGCTACTTTGCCAGTACTAGTTACATAAAAATGAACAACAAACTACTTTTTTTCCTTTAACCCGGTCCTGTACTGTCGACTTTGAACTACCATACTGTTTACATATTTCAAGTAATTTCCCGACATTTCTTACTGCTTCGACTGTCTCCTTCAACCTGCGTTCACTATATATACGGAATAAATTTTTTTCTTTGTATCCAATCCCGATTGATGTGAAATATGAAATTTTATTCCACAGTCCCCTGAAAAATGGCATGAAAATGGGAGTAGCCGGTTATTGGAATGCTATGAACATTCGTTCATTCCAGTACTCGGACACAATATCACACATTATTTGTTATCTTTCGCTGTCTGTCTCCTGGTTGGGGCTTCAGTCGTTTATTGGTATGCTTAATTCCAAGAAAGAAGTTTGATAGTTGCTATGTTAGATAGATTGATAACGACCACGCCACTGGTTACCGATTTCATTTTCTTCGGTTCAGCAACTCTGTTGTAATCACAAGCTTATATATATATTATTAGATAATTATAATGCTCACCGAGTTTTGTGATCGCACATAGTAATTTTTTTCACTCCACTGCAAAAATCCACATTAACTAAGGGGCCGTTAGATGACATATACCTCGTTGATTTATTTGTTATAATACATATACTCCTTGAATTCTTCAAAATAACCGTCAATTTTAACAAACTGTTCGAACACATGATTCTGAAAAATAACAGATGATTTAATTATAGGTTATGGCAAATTGCTTATGATATTTGATAAGGGATTCATAAAACATTCCAGAATAGATATACAGTTACTCCGTTCATTCTGTTGAACATTTTTTTAAACATGTTGATAAAAGCCTGTAAATGTTCTAATCAAAAATACTCCCAAATTGTGCTTGGTATCACCCGTTTATGTTCTTTGACATCTTACTGGACCATTTTGAGGGCAACAATAGCACGAGTTTTTCTGTAACGAAAATTTCTATATGGACGGGGCTATTTGAGCCCGATCCGTATACGTTGTTATGAACGTAGTCGCTACTGGTGTACTAGTGTTAGTGGTGCCATCTACCACCATACTAGTCATTCTTGATAATCCTGTATACAGGGGGTATAACATATGTATAAGCATCTAATTTTTATATCACATTTCTTCAGTGTATGAAGAAATAACCTGATATAACAGATAACCTAATATCACAATCGCGGAATTCACGAACATGACACATTTGCTCAGACATTTGACAAAATTAAATAGCATCCATCAAAATGCTGGATATAAATTAGCAAATACAATTTTTGCTCAAACTGTACAGGTCAGTATTTTTGTTTTATCATTAAGTACTAAAGTTCAAGTGTTTGTTTTAGATGAGTTCTGAAGTAGAGAAGGCACAGGCAGCTAAAGATCAAAAGTCAAAGGAAACTATATTTGATAAAATAATTGCTAAGCAGATTCCAGCTGATATCATCTTTGAGGATGAGAAATGTTTGGCTTTTAATGATGTTAATCCTCAGGCACCATCTCACTTTTTGGTTATACCCAAAAAGCGCATACCAAAACTGGATGATAGCAATAACAGTGATAAAGAGGTGAAACATTAAAATTCTATTGTTAATGAGTAGTTGATAGTTTTTATTTTACAGTTGTTGGGACATTTACTACTGATAGCTAAAAACTTAGCTCAAACGAAGTTACCACATGGATATCGTTTAGTAATAAATAATGGGCCAGATGGTTGCCAATCTGTGTATCATCTACATATCCACATTTTAGGTGGGAGACAAATGAAGTGGCCGCCGGGCTGAACTGAGACATATTTTACTGATTCTATAGTTTATTATAAAATACTAAATACAAAAATTATTCTGTCATTTTAACTGAGTCAGCTGACAGATGTTTTATATATTGTTCCTCACTTAACAGATTCCAACTTTTCACTATGTCTTCAAATTGATATGTACGTCCTTTAGGTAATATAACAGCCAGAAATCCTAACTTCTTAGGTTCTGTTTTCAATAATTGTGGGTCTCTCTTTATCAGTTCATTTATTTCTACTAAATACCCAGTCACACCAGCCCTTATATTGTAAGGCTTTTCTTCCCCTTCTAAAGTCACTTTACATATTATTGTTGTGGCATCCACAGCCCTAGCACCATGTTTTCTCACACCTTTTGTCTTGATGTTCGACCTATCACTTTTATTTACAATAAAATTGATATCAGTGATCTTTTTTTCACTATTGCACATGGCATGACTACAAGCTGGTGCAATTAGAATGGTTCTATTTGTATGAACTCTTACAAGCATATCATTTGGGTAGCTATCAACTCCTATGTTGATACTATATTGGTTTTCAAAATATCGTTCATAGTAATACTTAAAGTTCTGTACTGCATCATTTTGAATTGATTGAAGGATAGGTACTTCTAGTTCTTGCACTGTCTGGAGATATTCTAGATAACGTGTCCGATATTGTTCAGGGACGTTAAGGGGCAATGTCTTATCACAAGTATGGACATCTGTATTTGATGAACTAATTTCTGAGGGTTGAATAAGTTTTGCAATAGTATCTGCATCGTCATCTTTACAAGAAATCATATTTAAGTTAGTTTAACTCAAAACTTTTCTATTTGGGTTTCATTCAGTTTTTGTTTTCTCGCTATGCTATTTCAGAGGTTAAAAAGTGAGGTTATGTAGATATCGTTGTAGTGATGTGCGTTGTGCGTAACGACTCACATTACTCTGATTCTGATGACCGAGTCGTTTCTGAATGCAGCTAACTTTAATTTCGATTCTTCATACACGTTTTACTGGGGATGTAGTCTCAGGACAATTGAGAAAGTTAAGATAAACAGGGGAGTGGAACTGCTTCGTTGCCTCAATACGGTGTGTATAAGCTTCGATATTTTACCTGATATTTCTTGAAAGAAATGATTTGCTATATGGAAATATATTGACTTAAGGAGTTTTGCCTCTCGCCAAACGGTATTCATAATATCCGACACGTGTTTCGGTTTGTTAGTATCTTCAGGAAAAGATTAAAACTGTTTGAAGGGTTTATTACAAATCAGTTTATTGAACTATAAATCTCATCTCCATTGCAGCAGTGCCCGGTTAACTTTACGATGTTGCGGATCTCTCATCTCTATTACGAACTAGTATTATATAATATATAATTATATTATAATCAAATTCAAGCGGATAACCAAATGAAAATGGTATTTACCATTTTGGGTTGGTATTTACCGATCCGTTCAAGGGAGTGTGGTTATCAGTTTGGTTATAAAATCCGTGACGTCATGAATCAACTGTTATATGTCACAGTTATCATCGCAAAATTGTGGTATTTACCCAACTCATGAGTAGTTTTATATTTCTGGTTATTATTTGAAATGTGACAAGTTAGAATTTTGCAGGGTATTGGATACTGGTATTGTACTTCACCTTCATTTTTGGGAAACTTGATACAGGCTGACTTCAGTGTTAGCATAAAGTGGAGCACCTTATTAGTTATACTCATTACTGTTGTTGGGAACACTTTCAATCTAGTTCCTATGTTTAACAAAGTATCCTGTGTAGCCATATACCACAAGAATATTAAAATATGGCCATTTAACTCCCTGGATGATGTCCACCTGTAGACGGTTTTGCTAATATCTTTTTTCATCATTTCTCTAATTCAATAAATGTTTTCTTTGACATGCGGAAAACTTTTGTGAATTGAAAGTTATCATAGCTACAAAACCATGGTTCCATCATTAAAAAAATTTGTATGAAAAAAAAAAACATTTCCCCCATGAATATTATGAAAGGTTTCTTATTTAAACTTTCCATACACCGTTGTAGACATAAAAGCACCAATTATTAAGTGATAATATACGCACTTTCCTAAAATAAACAACTTGCAACAAAACCGCGGTTAAAACCAACGCGTTCAAGCGATTCGTGTAACTGACGTCATCAACCCGTGTGTCATCTTGAACCATATTATAACCGCGACACATAATCAAATCCAAGCGAACAACCAAAATTTCTGTGTTATGTACCGCGGTTATAATATGGTTCAAGATGACACACGGGTTGATGACGTCAGTTACTCGAATCGCTTGAACGCGTTGGTTTTAACCGCGGTTTTGTTGCAGGTTGTTTATTTTAGAAAAGCGGGTATATTATACCTAATTTCTGATTATTTTTATTATCACTTAATAATCAGTGCGTTTACAACAGTGATATGGAAAGTTTAAAAAAGAAAACTTTCATGATATTAATGGGAGAAATGTTTTTTCCTCACAAGATATTGTTCATGTGTTGAATCACTTGAGAAAATCGCTCTTATGTTCACACAAGTTTGTCGTGAATATAAAGGATATGACGCCCAAAATTTTAATGGTGGAACCTAGGATTTGTAGCTATGAGAACTTCCAGTTCTTTAAACTTTTCCGTATGTCAAAGAAAACATTTATTGATTTAGCAGAAAAGATAGGAAAAAGCGACGAAAAAAAGATATTAGCAAAGCCATATACAGGTGGTCACTATCCAGTGAGTTGATATGGTCATATTTTAATATTCTTGTGGTATATGGCTACACAGAATACTTTGTTAAGCATAGGAACTAGATTTAAAGTGTCTCCAACAACAGTGATAAGTATAACAAATAAGGTGCTCTACTTCATGCTAAAACTAAAATCAGCCTACATTAAGTTTCCCAAAAATGAAGCTGAAATGAGAGACATTAGTGAAGGTTTCAAGAAGTATCCAGGTAAGTAAACGTTTCTGAATACTGCAAACCTACGGTGATACCGCCCCCTGCATTTCACACAATTACTTCCCTATTGTTACTCTATATTTCCCTAGAAACCGGTCAATATTTCCTTGGTGGTTTCCCCCTCATGTAAGGCCTAGTCATTAATGTTTTAGAGACAAATAGGTATTTAGTACAATTACTGTATAGATATTATATTCAAACTTTTTTGGTTGGTCCTAATTGATGCCATCACAACCTGTCCTGTAATAGTATTTATTGGAATATACATATGTATTTAGTTAATAAGTTACATCTGTTTCCACTTTTCAGTTTATTATTATTTTCAGGAGTTATTGGAGCAGTAGATGGTACCCACATATTTGTAAAGGTTGAAAAATGTCAACAAGATAGCTACATAGACCGCTATAGAAGAACATCTATAAATCTCATGGCAATATGTGATTCTAACACTTTATTCACCTATGTGTTTTTAGGATACCCTGGATCTGCTCATGACTCACGGGTATGAGTTAACAAAAATAAGAAAACGCCTCATTTTGAAGTGAATATTTATTACATTGCAATAAAACTTCAAACTAGTATTTAAGAGGAAGTGAAAAAAGCTTTGCACCAGTTAAATTTTGGTATACAACACATTGTAGGAAAACATTACTATTTTTTTATATTTTTATACTTTAATTTCAGGTTTTTGAAAATTCATGTATGTGCAAAAACATTGAGAGACATGGGCCAAACTTCTACTTTTTGGATACTCAGAAATATCACCTAATTGGTGATAGTGCATTTGCATTAAGAACTTGGCTTATTACTCCTTACCAAGGCGACAATGTGACCAGAAAGCAAAAATTTCACAATTACTATCTTAGTTCCGACAGAGTAAAAATTGAACATTGTTTTGGGGCGTATAAGGGTAGGTGGAGAAGGGTGCAATATACAGGGTGACTTTGAAGTTGAGTCATTAATTTTCAGATAATGATTGTAGAAGGAAGATAAACCAGAATATGTGTGTAAAAATAAAAAAAAATTTTTACCTTGTTTTATAAAGTATCCTCCCGACAAGTATTTCAGTGCGGACCTGTATTTGATCGTGAGGTCCCCTGTGAGGTCTTCAAGTCACCTGATTCACGAGCCCGTTGTACTACATTAACAAAGGCACGAGGGGTTGGTTGCACTCGATTGGGAAACCGATCCGCATAAACATGTGCCATTTTTTATTTCGTTTGAGCCACGCAACAGACACTATTCACACGCTAACCGACTGTATGTATAACTGAACTGAATAAAATACTTAATTGCAAAAACGTCGTTCCAAATTCTTTCGCTTTTTTGTTTCCGATGCGATGAACCGGTAAGGCGGATTATATCCGTTGTTGCCAAACACGAGTACATGATATTATTATTGAGACAGGGCGGTACTCAAACTTCCAAAGGGCTATAACTTTGTTACTTTAATTTTACCAGAAAAATGGTAAAGGAAAAAAACATTTCTTTTGATCAGATCTACTCACTGTTAAAATAAATGACTCAACTTCGAAGTCACCCTGTATAAATACCTATAACATTTGCAAAGCAGTGGAGATTGCAACAGCTGCATGTGTTCTACACAATTTTTGCATTTTGCATAAAGACACCTGGAGTAACGATTTTTTTGGAATTGACCTGGACAGAAATATAAATCAGGCTGAACTAGAAGATAGGGGTAACATAGAAGCAAAGCGGAAAAGAAATAGAATTGCAGACACTTTATTCTTATGCAGATATAACATAGAATAATATTATTGTACCATATTTCAATTCAAATTGAATAAAAAACACAATTATTGGTTTGCATTTTAATTTACTTATCTCTACTTTCACTTTAACTTAATTATTATTCTATACACAGGGTTTGTTAGTTATCACAAAAGGTATATTACCTTTTTTATGGATGGATTGACTTCTACCTTGAAATAAACTTCTTCCTTGAATAAAACTAAAATATTAGAACAAGAAACTATTTATTACACAATTTAAAAATCTCAAATAAAAACAAAAAGAAATAAATATTAATCGATGATAATCCTAGTCAGTGTCAGAATCGTTTGTATCACTCTTTCTTCTTTTCTTTGTCCCAAAAGCTGCCTCAACAATTTCTAAGAACCTGTCCTTTTGTTGTTCTGTTTTCTTCAAATGTTCTTTCAAAAAACTAAATTCTTCACTTCTTATTTTTCTATCCTTTTCCATTTCTCTTATCAAGTCATCATGCCGAGAAGGTGTTACCTTTCGAGTTTTTTTAAATCGGCTAACTGGTGTTGTTGTTGAGGGACCCAATTGAGTTTCCTCTGAATTTGTATGATCTGGTTGTTGCTGTTCTATTTCATTTTTCACACTTTCTGATGTTTCATCCATTGAATCCTCTAGATTCAGTGGGGTTACCTTATGTTTGCATCCTAAAAATTATATTGGTAAGTACTTCCACCTGTTTTGACTAAGGAATCTAAAGGTACACATTTTTGTTTTTTGATGGTTCATACCAGAATTTTTATAATTACAAACATGACAGAAGAAAAATTGAAATAACAATACTACATACTTGTTTAAGATAGTAATGTGAAAGTAAAAGAAGATATTAAACTAACCTAGAATGGAGTGGAGCTCATCAAAAAATGGAGGAATGTCATCAATTCTCTCAGTTCCTGTTGTAGTTTGATGCTTCATGTAAGATCAATAAGTTTTTTGCAAATTCACAAACTTTTGACGACGCCGCTCTCCTCCTTTGTTCCCAAGATGGAAATTATTTTCCTCTAACTTTTTTGCTGTCATTCCACAATTTAAGTTTTCTGGTTCTTTTGTCGTCAAAGTAAGTACTTTTTTCCTCTCTTAAGGACAACATTAAATGAGTTGCTTCATTATCCATTTCAGAAGGCTTCTTCTTTGTCCAAATCATATCATTAATAGATGGTTGAATGGTCGAGTCATTTTCATTGTGGGGCATAGACCACATAGATTGAAAATCATTCTGTGGTTGATTTTCGGAGTCATTGTGCTCATGCTGAGACCCCAATGGACACATAGATAAAATATATTGCTCTGCAGCAGCAGCATCTAAAATTTCAAGCCAAACCTATTTGAATATAAAAAATATGCCACTCTCATAATTGATAAATCTTAAAGCAAAGTATGAGAGGTATCCAGTTGTGATACAGAGTTTATTATTGAATATGTGCATACCATGTAGAAAAAGTCACATAATATGTAGGAATCTAGAATCAATAGGGTCAGTTTTACCTTGCACCCCACCTCTTTAATATTTAAATAGCCCATAAATATCAGGCTTTTTCTACAAGGTATACAATATACTATTCCTTGCTTATCCTACTATATAGTTACCATTCAAAAGTAAATTGGCTGTTTCAAGGTCTTTAACGCAGACCTCGTAGTCTACGCCTTCATAGTTTAAAGTTAGATAAAATTGCTCCATATTATTTTCAATTTAATAAGGAACTGCAAAACTGCTATTTTAAACGCGCATATAACCTCACAAGTACGACGAAAATATCCAATACCCGCCAAAATTCTAACTTGTCACATTTCAAATAATAACTAGAAATATAAAACTACTCGGGAGTTGGGTAAATACCACAATTTTGCGGTGATAACTATGACATATAACAGCTGATTCATGACGTCACGGATCTTATAACCAAACTGATAACTACACTCGCTTGAACGGATCGGTAAATACCAATCCAGAATGGTAAATACCGTTTCCATTTGGTTATTCGTTTGAATTTGATTATAACAGAAATTTTGGTTATTCGGCTGGATTTGATCCTTTCCCATCCCTACTTAGGGCAGCTCCTTCACTTTGCACTTGAATTCAGCTTCATGCTCAACTTTCTGCAATGAAATCGACGATATATGAGAGATTACGCATTTGCAGTGTCTGTTATCTTATATTCCTCATAATACAATATATTTGAATGAAATGAGTGTTTCTTAATATTCCGTTACTATTGCAAAGTAATTCAAATTTTCTTATGTCCCATCTCCATTCTACCAACTCGCAGCTAATTTCAGTTTGTTCCGCTTCCAAAATTTGACATTCTGATAATCTGATAGATTTGTGTTTCCGATTGTTGTGAAATTGCTTTAGAAAACTTTTTATATGCAAATAAGTCATGTCTCTCCGGTTGAAAACTCATTTTCCGTTGCGGAAACCGTGAAAATGCACGAGAATATATGCTTGCAGTGCAAAAAAGTGCCGCAGGGTCCACTGAACCGCTTGGTGCAGGATTCCTGTGGCCACAAGAAATGCAGGACTTGCTTACTAAACGACGATGTGCGGTGCTCCCAGTGCGAAGAAGACAGTTTTTGCGGCAAGAACTTCAAAAGTAACTTTAAATGTGATAAAAACGGTGATAGTGTTAACGAAGTTGTCCTCAATAATCACACGGGCGTTATACAAGTCAATGGCAATGTTCCTAATAATGTGAATGGTAGCGAGATCAACGGAAAACATGAGAACTCTTATTGTGAACTGAAGATTGAGACTAAATACGTTGAAACGCCCGTTGCAAGGTCAATTGTTAAACCCAGTGCAGAAGAAACACAGAGATTGACACCAGTCAGTGAAAAATCCAGTAGTTCCAACATTCCAAATCACATCAAAGTACTTACAGAACCCCTGTCATACCATTGTACAATTTGTGATAAGAAGTTCATCACAAAGACTCATGCAAAGTACCATGCTTATTGTACAGGTGCTCCAAAACCTTACAAATGTGAGGTGTGCCAAAAAGAGTTCATTCTTAGAGCACAACTAGATGTACACTCGTATAAACATAAGAATAGTAAGCCACATGTATGCACTGTGTGTAAGAAATCTTTCAGTGATAGGTCAAAATTGTCTCGACATGTTGCTGTCCATTCTACTATCAAGTCATTCATTTGTTCTACTTGTGGTAATGCTTATAGAAGTAAGGAGTCGCTGAGGTTGCATTCAGTAACACATAAGTCTGAAAAACCTTATGGGTGTAAGTTGTGTTCTGCAAAGTTCAACAACTTATCCAACTTGAATAAGCATGTGATCACTCACTCAAGTAAGTATATGTATTTTCTTGAAATTCTTGGAATTATTGTAAACAAAAGATGAAAAGCATTGTTTTCTTTCCATATTTTCTGTTGACTATGTATATATTTAACATAATGCTGCAAACACATGTTTTATTCTTGGAAATGCCTATATTTATTTCCAATTAAATAATTGAAACTGCATTGCTGATGACCTTGATTCAAATGCCGCATTTTTGGCGCTCTTTGCAGTGACATCATCATCCCAAACATGTCATTTTTTTTTATTAGGTTACTATTGAGATATGGTCATTTTTGGAAGTATCCATCACAGTAGAATGACACCTGATTATTTAGTGTTATTTCAAAATTCACCATATCACCAAGTGTCTCATAATTCTGACAGATCCGTCAAAGCCAAAGCCTATATTGTTTCAATCCTACCCGCCGCTCGATTACAGCGGACCGAATAAATGCTGTCCGCCTGCGATACGCCGTGGCCATAGCATTACTCATAGAAGCCCGTGACGTGCATACAAGGTGTGCGCGGTAATTATATATATTCTATCTGTGCCTACGAGTCTTATGCTATTGCAGTATTGCATTAACTGATGTTGCAGAGTTTGTAGGTTCATATCTAAAGCTAGTCGTACACCTCAACTCATAACAAACAGTCCTGTGATGTATTTTTTTTTTCGTGAAAACCTGCAGATGTGCGTTGATGGGCTTTTCAGGGTTTAAAGTACACAACAAGAGCTATTATAATGAGGTATCAAAATGCTGTTACAAACGGTCTTACACCCCAGCTCCAATGAAAGAAGTCTGTCGGGTACGGTGCACCCTGAAAAGCCCATCGACGCACATCTGCAGGTTTTTACGAAAAAAATGTTTTCCTAAATTGCAGAGAGTATCGCGCACCGTACCCGACAGACTTCTTTCTTTGGAGCTGGGATGTAAGACCGTTTGTAACAACATTACGATAACTGATTATAATAGCTCTTGTTGTGTACTTTAAACCCTGAAAAGCCCATCGGCGCACATCTGCAGGTTTTCTCGAAAAAATTTTTTTCCTAAATTGCAGAGAGTATCGCGCACCGTACCCGACAGACGTCTTTCTTTGGAGCTGGGATGTAAGACCGTTTGTAACAACATTACTATAACTGATTATAATAGCTCTTGTTGTGTACTTTAAACCCTGAAAAGCCCATCGACGCACATCTGCAGGTTTTGACGAAAAAACAAATGCACTACAGGACTGTTTGTTATGACTTGTTATGAGCTTTAGATACGAACCTACAAACTCTGCAGAACAAGTTAATGCAATACCGCATTAGCATAAGACTTGTAGGCACAGATAGAATATATATAATTACCGCGCTCACCTCGTATGCGCGTCACGGGCTTCTATACGCTACGGCCACGGCGTATCGCAGGCGGACAGCATTTATTCGGTCCGCTGTAATCGAGCGGCCGGTAGAATTGTGGAGCCAGCTTTTTGGAGCTAACTTCACAGGCATTACACAGATGTCACTTGTTGATATAGGGTATACCCTTTACCCTATTTCATGAGTATAAATACATTTTGGCATCTACTGAGGTGAACAGCTGATCAGCAAGTGACATTTTTCTATTAGTCTGCAATGTTGGCAGTGATGAATGAATCTGGTGTAAAACTAGAAAAACTAGTTTGTTGCATTTTGTTTTTTTATGCAAATGATTTTTTCTAAATAAAAGAGCTTTCAGCAAGAACAAAATGAATCTGCAGCGGACAAGAAAACAAAACAAAATATGGCTTTGCCTACCTGGCATTGCCAGATTAGTCAGAACTATGTGTCCTTTACCGATATGGGGAATTTTGAAAGATTACTAGATAATCAGCTGTCATTCTACCATAGTGGATACTCATGAAAAGACTATATAATACCATCTGTTTGTATATTTTTTACTACTATTTATAGGTTATATTTATTTTGTACATTGAAAACTGGAACATCAAACTGACAGGTGGACAATCAATGATTGAGAATAAATGCCTGCTATTTTAAATCAGTCATTGGGAAAGGCACTTTTTATCTTTAATCATAAACACAACTAACTCCATAATTTGTAATTCACTTCAAATCTTCTGGGTCAGCAGTGACATACCAGAATCAGAGGTAAAAATTTAGAACCACATCTTAACCATGATGTCATTGTTATGAAAATCATGTTTGGTTATACATTGGTTGACATTAAATTATAATCACTCTCAAAAGAATTTGCGGAAATTACTTTAAAAGGATTGCTGACAATCAATGACCGTAAGAACTTGGTAAGAACAAACACCTGTCATTTTAAATTTGAATTAATCAATCAACAAAGGTTTGGATGATCACAAGTTGCAAATGGTGAACTCATGCCAATAGCCTTGCATTTTTACATCTTAAAACTACCACATATTTTTTATTAATTATTAATTAAAAATAAAACAATTGTAATTTTAGAGAGCTTAAGTATGAAATAAGATTGAAGGCATCATTCTGTAGCAATATAGACTGTAAACAAAAATAACTAAGCAATATTAAACTAATTTTAAAGACAATTTACTGAATGCATCTAGTTGATGAGATTAAGATTGTGATATTTGCAAAATCAGATGTTTAGTTGTTTAGTGTGTTTAAGTTTGTAAGTGTATTGAAGTGTGAAAAATAATATAGCCAGTTCATAAATAACCATTTTTTATTTGCTTTAACTTTGTTACTTACAAATGCTGATATTTTGTTTTTATTGTTTATTTTAGAAGAAAAGTCTCATATGTGTGACCAGTGTGGGAAGAGATTTAAGCAGAAGCTGTCTCTGTCTGTACATCGTAGATCACATTCGAGGACTAGGCAACATCAGTGTGGAGTCTGTCTGAAGGCTTTTGTGAATGGCAAAGACCTGAAGAGACATAGTCTCATACATGCAGGTAGAATTCTTTTATTTACTCACCTTATAGTAAATGATGTTGCTAGTATTTAATGTTTGTAGTTTGACTAATTGTTTGCTTTATCATTTTATTTCAGATACAAAAGGATATGCATGTGGTATCTGCACAACAAGCTTCAGAAGAAAAGATAATCTACGGAGGCATATGAAGAATACTCACCCAGGTAAGTTTGTAATTTATATTTGTACAGGTTACACCGATATAAATGTCTTTTTAAAAAATATTTGTGTTAAAGTCTTACTTTTGGCAGGTTATAAGTAATCATTTAAAATATAGTGTCTGTCACTGAAAAAGTTGGAAATAATATTATGCTATATTGTGAGTCCATAGGAGAGTGATTTAAAATTGGGCGCTTGGGGTGGCAATTTGTAATAATGGAGCAATTGAGCACCTTACATAGATGTGATATAATATGATTGTCAATTTTTGATTATCATATAAATTAACATTCTTGTTAGGGAGTTTTGGTTCGAGCTGTCCCCATAAAGAATTGTGGGCATGTCTGCAATAACGGAACAGTAGCAGAAATAGAAGGATAACCTGAGCAACATTTCTGCTTTTTGGGCTGCCGGCTCTTGTTTATGGCTTCTAGTTGTATTTTCCTTTCCATCTTTGTTTTCCTTCAGGTTACACACTTACCCAGATGTGAGGGGCATGTTTTCACTTCAGTGTTTTTGATTCATATGCATTTGGGCCTGATGAAGCCAATAAGCAGAAACATATGTCACTTGTGTTATCGATCCTTCTATTTCTGCACAAGTTCCTTTATTACGGACATGCCCAGGATTGTTCTTTGTTTTTCAAAACTACTTGGTTCTACCCATAGATTTTCTGTAGTTACAGTAAGAAGGGCGTTTTTAAGGGAATATCTTATGGAGGGTATATTTGGCGAAAGGAATACAAGACCAAGACAAAATTTTAGACATTAGCATTGCTTGGTTTTTTTAAATTCTACCACAGATCCAAGTTTTAATTGATAGCAATGCAAGCACCTTAACGTCAAAATGAGATTGCTCATTGCTAGTTATAATGGTCCCTATTACTTACTATTAGAAGCTACATTAAGGTTCGGCATACGTGTATTCCTTCAGGTAAAACAGCCGAAATCGTAATGGTACCGGTGCCGGCGTCATCGTCAAGGGAATGTTTGGCTCCGCCTCCGCCCGCTGCTGGGCCAATGGCGGCCGCCGTGAGCTCAATGGCGCCTGCGCCGGTGCCCCTTCCACCTGCAGACACGCCCAACGCCATAAAGGTGATCACCTCCGCCTCCTCCGTTGTTCAATCTAATTGCAGGCCACCGCAGCCGCCGGCAGCAGCGGGCGGAGTCAACACCGATCCGGCTGCAGCAGTCGATAGGGACGCAGCAAGAGGCGGGGTCGTCTCATCAAGACATCAATATACAGACAGAGACGCAGACACACCAGTCGCACCGCCCGCGACGACGGTCATCAATGGACCCATCAAGCTCGCGTTTAAGACGCCGGCTTTCAAGAGCCACTACAATATTAACAGGTGAGTCATAAAAATTTAAGGCCGGGCTGTCTAGATAGAGTTTTTGTGCTGTTTTATAGAACTGAAAGGTTGAGGTCCGTCGCGCCATTTGCGCTATTTATCGCCAGGTGGCTTCACAAACATATACATTGAAGAAGGTACAGTCCCGTGCTATCCATAGGGCAACACGGTTGACTTGTGACTGTGTCCAGCCGCCCTTTTTCTGGATGCAACAGTTATACTATCTATGAAGACTGGCTATATAATACTGATGATAACATAGGATATTTGAAGGGTATTTTTGTATTCACGAGTGCTAATTCACTATATCAATTAAATAAGACGAACGGTTTGATAATAAAAGTATATACCTGGCTGCAGAATTAACGTAGTGTCTTTAATTTCCAGAGATTTCAACTATGTACCAGCTTCTCAGCGCGAGAACAGCCATGTTATGGCAGAGTCGATAGACATCTGTCACAAGATTCTGTCAACCAGCTCTTCCAATTCTACTACAACTACAAGGGGTATCATCCGTAAAGCAGAGCCCACATCAGAAGAGATTTGTCAGAAGATCCTTGGTCAAAATCCCACCGCGCTGCCACTGCATTACGAAACGTCTTTCCAAAACCGCAAGCATGCTATGATTAAGAATATCAAGTTTAAAGTGCCTATTCAGTACACCAGGAACTTTCAGGAGGAGCAAAGTACAGTTGATGTTGATGCTGAGGATGAAGAGGATGTCCACAAGAGTGTAATAGTCAATAATAATAATGTGACGCAAAGCAGTAGCTTGCATTGGAGAAGGAGGACTTCACAGAACTTACAGTATCGACCAAAATTGGATTAAGTGTAAAGAAGGAATATTTATTGAAGTAATGCAACATCTGAAACTTATCCCGTGGTTTTCATGTCGATAATCCCCCATGTTTGTCTGGCTAATGGCTAACTACATATACATATTTGAAATTCTCCTTTAATGTAGTATGTTTTGGTTACAACAGTGAGACATGACACTTTTGACAATATTTTATTTACCGGTTTCCCAGGTGTCACTTCGTTTGTTTTTCCTTTGCACCTGGAAGACAGGTTAATAAAGTATTGTCAAAAGAGTGATTCATGTGCTGAACAAGGTCAGCATTCTGACTGAAATGTATACTAAACTAAAGAAGAATTTCAAATTTATGTGGATTCATCTGAACAGACATACATGGGGATTTTTTAGAGTACTGTATTTACAAGTATAGAGGAGGCTATCATCCCTTGAAGTCCTCAAATTTTCAATTTGTAGCCTGAAAATTTGTGTGGAGGTTTTTTACATGACGTAGTGCATTTTACTATATTGTTTCATTTAGTTTGAAATGCTGTCTTCTAATTTGGTTATGGTTACTTTACTTTTTTCTAACTTCTACAGGAATTCCGTGCTATCATTTTCTACATTACTGAACCGTTTTTTTAATGGAGTACATAAGTAAATATTGTTACTATTTTATCATTCTACAGCAGCTAAGTTGTATATTATAAGTGGAAAACGTTAATTTTGCGACCCTGACTGTGAACATAAAAAACGCTTCATTTTATTTAAGTACTGCCTGAAGACAGCCAATACAGCGATCTGAAAGAAACTAGCGCCAGTAGCAGAACGTCAAAATGAATGTATAAATCTACTTTGGAAAGAGTTGAAGCGCCATCTATCAGACAATAGCAGGATCACACACTTATCTATTTCCAAAGTAGATCTCTAAATTCACTTTTGTGTTCTGCTATGGTCGTGTAAATGTCGCTAATATCTTTTATATCTCTTTGTGAACATCGAAATACAGTAGTTGAACTTCAAATTAAAAACGACAAGATTTCCCTGGACAAAATTTTCGCACCGCCCAAGCCTAACAGTGCGCGTCATATGTCATCCGTGATAGAAGGATCAACTACTTTTATGTCACTCCTTTACGGTATCGTGTGTATAAAAGCGGCATTCATATTTAATAATGTACTTCAGTGAAAAACAAAGGGTAATCGTGGGCATGTCCGCAATAAAAGAATATCAGCAGAAGTAGAAGGTTTTGGTAACCCGAGCGACGTACGTTTCTGCTTATTGACTTCGTCAGACCCAAATGAGTTTTCATCGAAAACACCGAAGTGAAAACAGAGTACACTGTTCTATATGCAATTAATTAAGTTTTGAGAAAAACGCAGTAGAAATATATGATTGTGCTTATGCCATAAAAAAGAAAAGCACGACAAACTACTATAAATTTGTTTTTTTCATATAGATTTTGCATATCCAAAAAACCATACAACTATGTTACAGTAATGAAAAAACTTTATTAGAGCTAAAGTAACATACAACTTTGTATTCCTTCTTAAGCAGTAACTGTAGTTCACGTAAATTTGTAAACAAATAATAACAAAACAGGTTTTTTTTAGTTTAATATGCAGAAAACTAGTAGAAAGCAGATATTTAACGAATAATCAAACTGCATGATAATAGGCTTGGTCTACAGCGGGCATGTATTTAAACATGCTTTTTATCGCTAATATTTTATTTGGAGGAATTGTTTTCGATACAGATATGCGCGTTTGAGGTCCACCTATAGAATCGGATCGTGTAGCTTGATATTCACGAATACATACTTTCTTCCATTCGTGGTGAGAGTGGTGTACTTTGTATTCCATCTCTAGTAGAGATTGAGAGAACTTGAGGGTAGCGATTCGACTGGAAGGCACCAATTTGTAATTGTAGATAGCTGCACATGTTTTGTAGTCCTTAAAATCGTTTTCTTTGAGTTGCATAATTTTGTAAGGTTTTATAGAATTTACTTTCAAAAATAAACGTAGAAGAGAAAGCGAGGAGTAATATTCAGATTTTTACAAAACCCTTTCTATGCAACAACGATTTCAATTGCGGATTATCTGCAAACTCTGCTTATAAAATCTTGATAAGAGCCCTAGTGATATCATTGCAGCCCCTCCCCATTATGGCCTCGCTCCAATGAGCAGTAGACTTGCTTCGTGCTCGAAAGAATTGCAGTCAAGTTGTAAACATTGAGTTTACTTTTATAGTAAAACTTACTCACTTCAGCATGTGGACATAATAATACGTTTTGCAGAACGAAGACTAAAGATATATTGCCATTGTCTCTACCTTTCTTTTTTCTTCTAGAGCTGCATTTTTCTCTTCAACATGCTTCTCGTACTCAGTATTTCTCTGGTCTGTTAGTGTTTCTTCATTGATCTTCATTTTAACTTCCTCGCACAAATCAGATCTATCCTTTTTTGATGTATGAAAATATAAGTTGTAGTCTTGACAAAACATAGATCTATAAAAGGACTCTTTCATTGGTTGTTTGTATGAAGAGGTACATATATCTTTATAGAGTTCATACGTTTTCCTTATATTCAGAGAAGGATCTAGGTATTGTCGCTGAGTTGTAGCTCTCCAGTAGTGCGATTCTACTCGAGGAAAAGCTTCAATAGGCGATTTAACACATTGGCTACAAATGATGTATTGATTTTTCTTCCTTGATATACCGTATGTATCACCGGTGCGATAATTTCTTGGTTCATTTGCGGACCAAATGTATCACCGGTGATATCGTGCATTAGTATATTTAATGGATTGTTAGAGCTAATGGGATATACAGGAAGGCAAATAAATTATGACAATGGGTCACAGGTGAACGAAATACATTGTAGAATAAGTGGGTATCACCGGCGACTCACGATTGTAAAGTTAAGCGAATTGGAATGCGAGGGTACTTAAACTAAACAAGAAATATTTTTAAAATGAATAATTCTTAGTGGAATATAAGCCTAATAAACTACTAAGAACTATCCATTTTAATTGATGAAAACAAATAAATATCTTCTACTAATGTAATTTACGTTTATTAAAAATAAGATATGAATAAAACAAATTCTAAGAGATATTTTAACAGAAAACCTTACATTTTAATGTTTTTTTTGGAAACATTCCAAACATAACGCAGGAATATTCGGACACTCCTTACAAGAAGTGGAAACCAGTTTGGCCTTATTTGCTGCTATTTTTGATTCCTTGTGAACGGCATACTCTTTGTCATAGCATCCGACGCATCGTTTTCTCTTCTTGCGATTGTCTTTCGTTCTTTCACTAATCGTAATCAGTAGGTGTTTGACTTTATTATTATTTTTTCTTTGTCTAAAATATCCCCAAGCAACCCCATCACAAGTGCCTCTCTGAACTCTGCGACTTGAATTTTCTTTTTGTTTGTTAGTTGATAAAAGATGAGAGCATTGATAACTGAAGTACCAAAAAAATATTCAAATGCAACCTTGTCGTACCATCTTAGAGATCGACGGAGAACCGTAAAATAAGAAGCCAATTGATCTGATAAATCAATGCCCATCTTTAACTTGTTGTAAAACACAATAGCTTCTGGTTTATGAATGGATTCACCTTTACGATTTTTTTTGTTGGTATCTACGATTTTTAATGTATGCCTGGTGCTGATAAATCTAACAGATCTCTTGTCTTTCCAGTTTCTATAACCTTCCCGTTATTTTCTTTTCCTTTGATACCCCCTTTTTCATTTTCTTCTCATCCAAAATTTCTCTTGGTACACCTTTTACTCTCTTGCGCAGTGATTAATTTTTGCCAATTATTCATACACTTGCTTTGGCCGTCTTTTATCGTTTTTATTGTTTTAGCTGGTACAGCCTTCTTTCTTACGGATATGTATGCTTTACCCGCAGCGTGAGCAGCTTTTCTGATATTACATTTCCATAAATCAGAATTCCTCTTTCTTTTCTGTGTTAGTGATTTTGTAGGGACGTTTTCGATGTTCAAAGTTATTTCTGATTCTGCGCTAATATGTTCATGACCAAACTCATCGCTACCATCAGAGTCCTCACTACTATTCGTTCACACAGACGTGTGTTATTTTTAAATAAAAATAATACAAAACATCTACCTTTTATAATTTGCTGTATTTTAATCTGCTGAGTTGTATCCATTTAGATTTTCCAAATTATGTATACTGGAACTTCGAGTGGAGCTCAACATATTCTCTTCTTTGAATATTTTTGCTCTAGAAAAATTCATTACAATTTTTTTCTTTCTTGCGATTTGAAAGTATACCTTAAATTCGAGAATGTTTCATTTTCAGAGTCATAATCGATTAGTATGATATTCATATTTTCTATTTTAACTAGAAGAGACATAAATAATAATTTCTAAATCTGCAAATATGGTGTGGGTTAAACCTAACCTCATTTTGTGTACTCAGGTTTTATTTTATGCAAAAAAGAAGAAAATATGAATAGTCCTCACAAGAATATGATGTCTAAACAACTTACCATCTAAGTACACTGCAAATTTTTCGCGAGTAACAAATACACAGACCAAACAACTAGGCTATATCAAAACTGAATGTCGAATAACGATATTCATGTCCGCGTACATGCGTACAGCAAAGTTGTATGTGCAACATTCCCTTTTGTTAAAAACCGCTAAGGCCAGGCGCGCACATGCCATTTTCGGTTGCACGACTGAAAAATCGTGATCGCGGAAAAATGTATATACAATTTTTTGGGCGCGCACTTTTAGTACCATCATGGATTTTACTCAAACTGCTTCTGTGGTTGCGTTGCTATTGCGAAAAAAAGCCAAAACACGACGTAAAAAGCAATACTGGGCACATCCACTGATAAGTCAAAGATTGCTGAACGACTTAAGAGATCATCCATATAAATTTTTTCAATATTATAGGATGAGTGTGAATATGGGTAAGACGTCAATGGTGTGAACAGTTTTGATGAATTACTTCAAAGAATAGTGCCGAAAATAACATATCAAAACACTAACTAGAGAAATTCTGTGCCACCTGAAGAGCGTTTATCGGTCACATTGAAGTAAGTATAAATACACTATTTTTTAAATGATTTTATTCTCATACCCATTTTGTGTTATTGATTTGACAAGTCAAACAACTCATTATTAGAATCACAGGGTGCAGGTGATAATGTCTGTGATAATGTCATAGAGTAATCACATGAGGAGGAACCTGCCGTGGGAGATAGTAAACCATGTGAAAATTGCGAATAGTAACTCCTGATAGAACATTCTGAATTCTGCGAAACGGTGGTTTATGGATGTCTTGATGGCTGCGAAACTGTTTGTGAATGTTCTGGTGGCTGCGAAATGGTTTGTAGGTGTCCCGATGGCTGACAATTGGAGAATGGAAGTACCTGCGAAGGCGGTTTTTAGCTAGCTCTACGGGTCATGTCAGGATAGTGAACAACTGGCGGAGCATAGTAATTCCTGGCATATTTCATTACATTTAGGATCTCTATTTTAGCGTAATGTTTTTGTTCGTCGTTCAGTTTTTGTAGCATGGGGATAAGCATTAAAGCAAATTGCTTGTTCTCCTCGATATCTTCGTTTTGCTTTTTTTGAAGGATGCTTAATAGAGAGCTTTCGGACGACTTATTTTTTGTGGTGTTTTCTTAGGACGACGCGTTGGAGTGTTCAGTTGATCTTCATGGTTGTCTTGCAAATTAGGACGTTGAGTGGGCGTGTCCTCTTCTTGGATATTGTCGTTAGTATTTTCTATAGGTGCAGTGTTACTACTTGTAGGTCGATCATTCATGGAAGGAAGCAGAAATAACAACAAATCGAAATAAATGTATTTTCGTCTTTTTTTTGCAGGTTCACCACTTTTCACTTTTCGTTGAGGTGCAAGTTCCCTTGCAAAGCAGTCCTTCAGATTCTTCCACTTTTTCTGTATTTCTTTTCCTGCAATTTGAAACCAATTGAAGCGTGCCATATGCAAAAGGTGGTATGTGCAATTCTATAAATTTTACAGGAGGCACATTATTTTGTTTTGTTTTGTCTTACTAAGAAATACAAAATGTTTGTAGCTATTTCTGATATCTTTTTGGATATAGGCAAGTAATAAAACACATACTTTAATGAAAACATTGGTATTAAAACTAATATTCGCCATTAATTATCAAAACGTAGTATGTGCCAATAAAGTTGCACATGTATAATGAATGGTAAAAATCGTATTTTAAACAAAAAATCAACATGTATTGTTTTTCTAACGCCTTTAATATACAAGACAGTGTGTTCTAATACAAAACATTTTATTATAAACCTTAAGTTAGCTAATTTTTATTCATTTTGTAGGGCCTCCTGACTCTCCACCAATTTTTGATAAAATTCTTGATTGGCGGGTGAAATAAAAGGAATCATACTTTTGATTTGTTTAATTTTTTCTTTGTTCCATTTACGGGGTGCTTGTTCCACCAGTTCAATGTTTAAATTTTCAAAATATTGTGGTGTAACATTTGGTTTAAACACACTCACTTTGCGCCACGGTGCGATCTCCGAGTACGACGTTTTAACTTCAACTTGCTCTAAGTTGTCCTTAGATATTTTCAGCATTACAGCTTGGGAGATGCCCAGGGTGGAGGTTACAAGGGTAGTTTTGGAAATTTCCATCCAGTAGTGCATTTAATTACAAATGGATTCTTCAAACGTGCACTTGCCATTATACGCACCAAATCCATAGGTATTTCAGGCTTAAGACCTTTTTTGGCTTTTTCTATGCAGCCAAAGTCCCTATCACATGATAGGAATGTGTGGCCACTTTGTGGAAACTTGTGCACTATCTCGTCGAAATACCCTTTGGCTACCAAGGTAATATAAACAGCCAAAATACCCTGGTTTTTATTCTGCCCCCCGCAGTTATCGGACCATAAAACCAATTTTCGCTTTGTAGTATTAAGCTGAGTTGTAACGTAATCATACAAACAACTACCGATTTCGTTACATCCTCGTTTTCCAGCTGTTTCATCCCATAGGTACATAAAACCTTTTCCTTCATCTTCAAAATGTATTCCCGGATTAATACAAGTAAACTGCCGACTATAGTACATCTGCGTATGAGTCAATGCTGGAATATATAACTGCTTTTGTAAATCGTAAGACAGCACACAGACATCAGAATCAGGACTTTTGCAATCTTCTATGTTTTGGGACATCATTTTTTGAGCACTTTCTGCTTTACGTTGATGTAATTCTCGCTTTAGTTCGAATTCATTTTTTTCCACGGGAGTCTTACTAGCAGCTATAGAAATTTTGTACTGGTCGCAAGTAGGACAGGTGTCCACTCTTGGGGCTCCAAAGGCTAAACTGAATTCTTTCTTGAAAATTTCATTAAACCATTGTCGGGAGACTGGGGGCTTTGTTCCATCAAGCCGATGTTTTTCAAGAAAAGCATTATATAGCTTACGAACAGTTAAATCTTCAGAGAGGTATCTTCGGTTTGTTACCTTTTCTCGACTGTAATGGCTTTCTCTGCTAGGAATTGACGCAATAAAATCAATAATTTTGGGTTTCCATAGGGTTTTGTTTCTGGCAGGACGTTTACCACCTCGTCTATCTTGAACATATATGCCGGAGGAGAGTATTCGCTGACTAAGTATCTCCAGTCTTCTTTTCGTAATAGCCAAAGTTAAACACAAGGTACTTTTACATACCTGAACTTCAGATTCTCCTGGAAGTGGTATAAAGTATTTAAATGAGTGTTGTCGTCTGCTCTGGTTGGAATTATCGTAAGTTCCATGTCTTCTACGTTTGATTAAAGTAGGTCGAATAAGGGAACGTAAAAAATTCTGCTGCTCATTATAATCTGCCAGTTTCCAAAACTGCTCAAACAATCTTTTTCTTGCAACAGCAGTAATTAGCTTACAAGAATACTGACAGCTGCACTTTACCTAAAAGAATATTTCAATTATATTAATTTCCTTCAGCATGGGCGCCCGCAGGATTTTTTTTCAGGGGGGGCAAAATAAAACTTGTTGCATTTCAAATTTAGTTATTTTTATTAAAAGTTGAAAATCGTTATGATAACAAAAATAAAATATACATAAAAATAAAATATAACTAAACAGATGACTTCTTCCTAGAGAGGTTTTTATGGTTTTATGGTTCAAAAGAAAAAAATGTAAGTCCTTAAAAATAACATAACATTTTACTAATAATTATATTAATAACTAATAATACCAAATACATTTATTACTCTAGACTAAAAACCAGTCTTCGGTTGCTTTGGCAAAATAGATCTAATATTTTAATGGCAAAATTTTGAATAGTTTCTGTTCGTTTTCGATGGATACTCAGCAATGCTAATCCAACAAGTCTCTCTTGTCCCATTGTAGCTCTTAACCATGTTTTAATCCTACGTAAGGTGCTAAAACTGCGCTCTATAGTGCAAGTGGTACACGGCAAAGTAAGGAGAAGTATGCAGCAATCTTTAACAGCAGGAAAAAATTTACAATGTCCAATAAGTTCTTCAATGGCTATATTTTCTGCAATTTTAGATTGACATAAATACTCTTTCCAAATATTTAACTCGCTTTCTAAATTTTCAATGTTATACAGCTGTTTGATCTTAACTCCGAACGATTTACTGTCTAAAGACTTTATATTTTTTGGCAAAATATTAAATAAAGAAAAGGCAATTTCATGCTCTTTTGAAAATCTTGTTTTTAAGGCAAGAATTAAATGATCTACATATGGAATAAATATCGATTTTTTAATCAGATTCATAGTTGGATCTATAAATTTGTCGACCACAAATTCGTGGCTTAGCCACCTCTATTCCAAGAGTCTCACAACTGGACACTGCTTTGGAATAAAGTTCTGCAAAAACGGTATCAACTTCTAATCGATTTTTATTACAACTGTTAACTATTAAATTAATGTGGTGATAAACATCTACGAAATTTATTGAAACTCCTTGAAGGGTATTCGCAACCGGTTCTAAAATATTTGAATATTTACTACCTACCATTAGACAAATAACAAAAGAAAATGAATTTGTAGCAGCCCATAACTGAGCAGCTCTTTTTGTTGTAGCAGAATTCATTAAAATTTCTCCAGTTTTTATATCATGAAGAGTTTTAAATATTGTATTAAAATTTTCTGCAAAAATGCGCAAAGACTATACTTGGCTGACCAACGAGTCTCACAGAATAGAGGTATATTTGGAATTAGATTCCTTCTTAAACTACTTTCTCTAAAAAAAACTATTATGTCTTTTACGGTACCAATAGTATTGCGAATTTCCGTTATTTTACTTACATCATTAATAACTAAATTTAATTTGTGTGATGCACAATGAAAATAAAATGCCCTTTTATACTTTTCTTGTATAATTTTTTGAACTCCATGAATTTCACCAGACATTGTTGAGCATCCATCGTAACCCTGTCCTACAAGTTTGTCAAGATTTAAGCCCGATTTTTCTAAAAACTGCAAAATTGAAGATGCGATGCTATCAGCGTTTAGTCGGTCCAACTTGACAAATCCAAGAAACTCTTCTTTCAGGGTAAACTTATCATTTTGTTCAAATACATATCGTATGCCAATAGATAGCTGCTCGTGTCCGGCAATGTCGGCAGTCTCATCAGCCAAGACACTAAAATATTTAGACGAATTTGCTTCTTCTACTACGCTTCTTAACAGTACTTCTCCGGCTAATGAAATTATTTCATTTTGAATTCTGTGTGATGTATATTTAGAATTACCAGCAGCGGTAAACAGGTGGTTGCCCAAAGTTTGGTCACCAGCGTCTATCCTGAATTTTAAAAGGTCACTAAAATTGCCAGCATTCTTGCTGCTTTCCCTTAAAGACATATCATGGGTTCCACAAAAAATTATCGTTTTAATAATTGGAAGAATTTTATTCCTATTTTCCAAAATATTTTTTTCTTCCCTCGTCAATTGAAGCCAATATGTCATTTTTTTTATTTGACAAAATATCAATAAAATTTTTACCCCGATTGGCTGAATCTTGATGCCAAGCTGAATTGACGTGGTTTTTGGCCTGGGTGTGAAAATCCCTATATTTTAAAAATGGCTTCGTAATAAATGCGCCTAAAGCACTACCGTGGTTAACAGTGGGTGGGAAAATGACACAATATTTACAAAAGCTGCCTTTAAGAAGTTTGGAATAAGCTAGCCAGTCATATTGATTAAGCCATTTATGAATAAATGGTCGTTTGTTTGATTCTACATCTTTCTTAAAGTCATAGGTAGGGGGTGGTCTATATGGACTTATTAATAAATCATATTTTTGTTTATCCGGTATTGACGATGAGTTATTAAGGAAATTTCCAATGTCTTTCGAGTCCGATTGGTCATCATTTAACAACATTTGGGTATCTTGAACAGGTTTATCTGTTAAAATTGTTCTTATCCCGAATAATGTGTTTGACTCATCTGCTTTTGTAGTGTCTGGTCCTTGATCTTCTTGGTCCAAGCTACTACTTGTACTTGTACTCGGTATTACTTGATGTACTGGTTGAAGTCCCATTTTTTTAGACGGATTACTGGTTTCTTCGGTGGTTGTATTTTTCTTTTAAAAAAGTTGCGAATGTCCATTTTTTTCTAAAATATAAGAAAATAATGACAAATTTATGAATCATTTTACCTGATGTAAATTGCAACTTGTGTGTGTTTAATTTAATTAAAACCAATAAGAAAAAGCTACTTCCTATGAAATAACTTTCAGCAGAAAGTCAAGCTTCAACTTAGGCATGTAAAAAATAAGATATCGGCGTATATAAAGAGAAACTAACCTCAAATCGCGGTATACGCACATTAGCCGCTTGACGACAACTATAGCACAGCGCTGACTCACGGCCGCGGCGCGCGGCGGCGGCGTAGACGGACACTTGCACATGGAGCATAAAGGTGCGTATACATATGCGAGCCGAGCGGTTCGCGAGCCGCTTGTGAGAAACTTGTTCGGCTAATTGGGACGGGGTTTATGGTTCCAAACGAACTGCTTGTGAGCAGCTCGTGAGCCGCTCGCGACGAGCCGCGGCCTGTCGGTTTTTTCGACGAACACAAAGGAATTCGCAGTGCATATTGGGACGTGTTTAGACAAGGTTCGTTGTTTTTCTTTAGCTCGCGAGCGAACTTTATTTTTCTTCAATAAAGGTATGGATTCATAATCGGAAGAAAAAATATTATGTCTGATAAACGTGTATACCAAAGTATTACGGCTAACCTAGAATATTAATTTAAAAAAAATGTCAAAAAACAAAGCTACCTGTCCACGGTACACCGACTTACCTATCTTGGGCAGAGATTGGAGTACGAAAATAAGTCTCCTGTTTTGAAATATGGGGTCCAATCCTTTGCAACAGATTCTCAAAGTCAGTAGGTGTCATTCGAGTGAAATTTTTATACTGTCCGCTTATTTCTTGCGACTTTAGGTCCATTAAAATTCCCGTACCACTGTGTTTCTTGAATAAATTAGTACACCACCAACGTCGTTGCTTTCTCTTTTTTTATTTACATCAGCCATTACTAAAACTGCAGCACCCAGCAAAATAGTATAATTTTCGTTTCGCGAAGCCATACTGCATTTGTCGACTGCGATGTTTGTTTGCGTTTGGTGCGCTGAATCTATGGATCGCTGGAGGTTCGCTGAAAAATCATTTCAACGAACCACCATCGAGCGGCTCACAAGCGGCTCGCGAACCGCTCGGCTCGCATATGTATACGCACCTTAACGTGACTTCCTATTGCACAAGCGCCAGGGTTAGGCATCATTCACACTACCGCGAATTTCGCGGATTTTTGTCAAAATGCGTCAAATTCAGATTTAAGAAAATCCAGAACAAAAAAAGGCGAAATTAGCCCTAGTCTGTTAGCGTCTGTTTATGAATACAATACACGTTGCTCTGCTACAAGTTTATTTCTAATATTTTTATCCTAAAATTGTTTTTTATGTAGATAGTAAATATAAAAAAACCATACCAAATAATCAGGGGGCGCCCATGTCCTTCAGGAAACTGAGCTCCATACGCTCTTCAAAAAAAAAGTGTTTACTTACCTCTTCGCAAAAACGTTTTCCAGGTATTGCTCGCTTTTGCTTTAAAGTTAGATATGGACTTCCAGAGTTTTTATTATGTTTTACATCTCTCTTACGTTTCCAGTAATTTTCCTTTTTTTGGCACGTATATCTTCAGGAATATTCATTTTTTTCGAAAACAGTACACTCGAACACCGCTCCAAAAGCTTTGCTAGGTTATGTTAAATAAGCAGCTGTTTGTTGGCACTTACTACGTTTTGATATTTAATGCCTTACATCGCCGCTAGGCAAAGCGCCATTGATATAAATTTATTGTACAAGTAAAGCATGGCACATACTCCCTATTAAGCTTATAATCCGCATTTGTGAAAAAGTGGCACTTACAACGTTTTGCATATGGCACGCTTCAATTATTGTTAAATTCTTACAAACATGTAATTATTATTTTTATTGATACAATTTTTTGATTCAGATATCTAGCCACTGGTAACAGTTTCAATTCTTTATACTTTGAATACCTACTAGGAGCTACTACAGTCAGAGAAATTGTTAAAGACATTGTCAACAACGTATCTGAAGACAGTTGGTTGAATATTGCCACACAGTTTTATGATAGAACTGATTTTCCAAATTGTATTGGAGCTGTGGACGGGAAGCACATAAGATTAACCCTGCTGTCCTGTTCGAATCTTACAACCTAATGTAGTGTTCGGGTCAATATGACCCGAGTGTGAATCATACATTTCAAGTAAAATAATATTGCCCATCGGCTACAAGAGACACATTGGATCCATAATTCCCCATTGCAATCTTGGGAATACAAACTATCGCAGTACAGACAGGCTACGTTTTCTTGCACAGTAGGATCAGGTATGAAAGACTCTTCGCCATCTGAACTATCCTTTACCGAAAAATCACTAGAATCGTGGAAGATAGAGCTTTCACGCGTTTTAAGAAGGGGTTTTCATTTTTTCGTAGTGGTTTCCTTGGTAATTTTTTTTATCTTCATTTAGCATTAATGCTTCTTTCAACCTATTATTTGTCTTAGGGTCCATGGATTTTTTTTGCCCTTCAAAAGTGATTCCTCAAGTTCTAATTTGTATGGTGAAGATGTTAAAACAGTAGCTTTAGTGGCCTTTCTTCCATTATTGCTTTGTATGTCTCTTACGCGAGGTATTGGACTCATATTTATCGGCGTGATAAAAGCAGGAGTTGCTGAAGTACCTGCTATGGGGTTCGGAATTAAGACTCCAGCATCGCCACGGCTCTGAATTGAATTGTTGGTAGTCTTGACTGCTATACCAGACAAATTACTGTTCGTGGAAGATTCGTTATCCAACTCTTCAGTTTCAGATACAGTAATGAAGTCATGATCTTTAAAGATGTATCTGTTAAGAGGATAAATCCCCGTTGTTTTAAAGCCATTTCTAGCCAGCTCTGCACACTGAGCTCGCACGTATGCACGGCCAAAAATACCTGCTATGTCTTAGTGAGTTATTGGTTTAGCGTTAACTCGAATCCATACACGAATTTCTTCTGACAGATATTTTTTTAAAGGACCCATAAACGTCTTGTCCAGAGGTTGGATTTTATGGCTTGAATGGGGAGGTATAGACAATAACTGAACATGGTTTTTACGTGCTAAATCAATTACCTCTATATTACGAGTGTGACTTGGATGTCCGTCCAATATTAAGAGGACTGGTGATGTAGCGGAAGGTTTCACATTTTCCAAAAAGTGTTTAAACCATTGAGTAAACATATCTGTTTGGATCCACCCTGTTGGATGGCAAGCGTGTATTGCTCCAGGTGGAGCACCATTCATTAATTGCGGATGGTCTCGCTTACGGGGAAATATCATCATTGGTGGGACGAATGATCCTGCTGCATTCATAGAAATGACACACGTAATGGTTGAACCCCGGTCAGTAGAAGTGACTGCAGCTATTTATCTTTTACCCCTTAGTGATAGAACTACCGACATTTTGTTTGGGACAACAGATACACCCGTTTCATCAACGTTGTAGATGTTAGCAGGAGGATATTTGAATTCATTCATTGCTTTCTCCAATAGGTTAAAAAAATTAGAGACATTTTCTCTGTTAAATCCTTTAATCCTCGCAACTGGAGTTCCTGTCGGACGACGAAAAGACAAATTAGGATGACGAGACAAAAACAACTTCAGCCATGTTTTTCCAGCAGATTTATTTACTTTTGAAAAAGTATTTTTTAAATTATTGCGTTTGGCGAGTTGGTATGCAATTGATTTAATGTCCCGTCGACTCAAACCAAAACCGCTGTTTTCCATAGCTAGAACGTAACTGACCAAGTCAATGTCTAGATTTTCTGGTAGAATAGCTTTTCTTCCTAGTTTAATTGCTATTAGGCTGTAAGGGCAAATTATTGTTTTTAGATAAGCGAATAAGTGTAGTTTTAGGGACATTGAACGATTTTGCGGCTTTTAAATATCCCATTTTCTTCTCTCTCACTGCAATTATGGCATTTTTCATTGCTTCCTGGTCCCATGTTTGTCTTTTCTTAAGTGGATTCTTCGCTTGTGAATACATATTCTAAAAAAAACAGCTTTTAATATGGACCACTATATTTAATACTTCAAAGGTAGTCCATATTAAAAGAACATCATTTTTTTACTTATGTTATTATTCTGAAAAAATTAATCCAATAATCATCTCAAATATTTAGCAATCTAACAAAACAATATTCGCTTAAGGCATACTCAATAAATAAACTGAGAAAAAATAATATTTTCAGGATTACATCCTTGTGAAACTTACCTAAAACTTATATCATATACCGCCAACAAATTACTATGGCCGACTTGACGTCAACCTTGCACCTGCACTGCTTAAAATCGACTGACACATAGCGGGTTGAGTACGGAACAATATAAGAAATGATTTAGGCCCGTATCGTCAGTCGTCCCTACAATTGTAGGGTGCGTTTATAGCCTCCTTGATTGTCATACTCTTTTCTCTCCTTTAAAAATTTCTAGATTATACTCGTCCCGTGCCAGCGTCAGCGCTCTCCTATTGTTAAGATATGTTTTCATTTTAAATTGTAGGAAATTTCAGGCTGATAAAACATGATATAACTCAAAAGCAAGCACAATTTGAGAAGCAGAAAACTATGACAATCAAGGAGGCCATAAACGCGCCCTACAATTGTAGGGACGACTGACGATACGGGCCTTAGATGTTGCGGTGTTGCCATTGTAAGGAAAATAAGGTGGTCCATATTACCGGACTAGTCCATATTTGGGGATTTTACTCTATATAATTACAGACTGACTCGCGCTCGTCGGATGGTTGAATGTACGTTTGGCATTTTAGCCAACAAATGGCGAATTTTCTACCGGCCTATGGATGTAGCTATCGAATTTGCTGACCATATTATCAAAGCATGTTGTGTTTGCATAATTTTGTGCGGAAAAAGGATGGTATACGAGTTCAGGATGAGTTATACGAATCTCCTATGCAAAGCTGTCATCCGACTGGAACACGGGCTATCACGTGTGGTCTTAAAATCCGAGATTATTTTGCAAATTACTTTACATCCCCAGAAGGCTCAAGACCGTGGCAATATGATAAAATTTGAACTGTACCGTTTTATAACACCTGAGACTAATAAAGAAAATAAACAGCATGAAAATACCTTTCTTTTGTTTTCCCGTTGCAGATAATTCCATCATACATTCATACAAACTTCGCCCCACAGTTTTTCCTTCCGTTCCGGTTACTTTCAGGTGCTTGTTGTAAAAAGCAGGTCTTTGTTCCACCTCGGTAATTATTCTTTCTGTGTCTAAGACACTATCTAGACGGTCATCCCTGGTGGAACATTCGTCGTCGGACATTTTAAAATTTAAAAAATCAGCAGCCCAGCGCAGCGCGGCACAGTCGTTGAACACTGAACACTGTCCGTGTGACTTATTTTAATTTGCGATAATCGCGTCGCTTCTTGAATAGAATGGTCTTTTTAGCCGCAGCGATAATTTAGTCGCATATGCGCGCATTTGTATTAAAAAACTGTGTATGATTTTTGCGACTAAACGATCGTGCGACCGAAAATCACATGTGCGCGCCTGGCCTAATATTGCAATGTATGTGACATATACCACTGAGCAACTGAAATATGATGATTTATCGGTCATACAGTTGCATCAGGATATTGCACTTAGCACTCTGAAACGCTATGAAAACTTGGGCATATCGACATACATCCATGTAATAGTGAAAAGTCAGATTTTGAGAAAGTGAGACAACAGTGCAACTCTAGGGTAACGATATGCCTATCACATTTAGATATGGGTGTAACCTGAACAAAAACAAGGATGGAAAGGACATTACAACTAGCAGCCAGCAGGCACATTTTTAGCTTCGGTCAGAAAATTTCGAGGTAACAACCAACCAACGTCGCCACGGAGGCAATAGCTACCCTGCGGTGGTATTGCGAGCCCAAGAGTAAATACAAAGAAAGACAAGCAGTCTTGGAAACCCAGATGAAAAACAAAGGACAATCGTAGGCATGTCCGCAGTAAAGGAGCAGAAGCAGAAATAGGATTGTCCTTTGTTTTTTTTCAAGTTTCCGCACAACTACTTGTTTTTCTTTATATGAGCTCAAAGTACGATGGCAGGTATTTATAGCTGGCCTCCATGGCGACGTTGGTTGATACCTCGTAAA